CACATTCTGATAGTCAAATCGACTTGGGTGCCCCCGAAAACGGACGTTTGAGAAATGGCCCCTTCAACCATGACTATCCGACTTGTTGTACGAAACCGCCGCACCGGAGTTGTTAACATCCCGTTGATAAGCTTCATAATGTCTATTACAAGAAGAAGAAGAAGGAGTTAGTTACAGAGCCGTTGGAAGAGGTTAACGGCGCAACGGCTAGTGCTGAGCTGGCAAGAGGATAAGATCAATCTAACGGCTATGCATAGACTCGGAAGGAATGAGAGGGTTTGACCACGAGGAAGAGAGTCAAAGCTATATAAGAGTGTAGTGAGCCGTTAGGAGAGTTTATGCAAATTGTATTCTAGTTTCTGTAAAGAGAGCGTCATGAGCTCTAGAGGATCGTTATGAGATCCTGGATTCGAGAATACATTTGTAATTGATCTGTAATTCTTCTCTCATATCAATAAAGAGTACATTCAGTAGCTGAGGGAGATCAAAACTCTATCATTGGTGCGGTGACAAAAGACGAATCTAACGCGATGTCAAATCGAGAGGCGACACCGACGAATCTCCAGTTCGCCGACGAAGAATCGGAGCCAGCGACGGAGCTAAGGGAACGAGTTGAAGAGATTGTGTGAATCCAAGGTGGAAACAAAGACGAGAATGTCAGCGATGGACGAGAAGCTAAACGCGATGCTGATGATGATAGAGAAGCTGATTCCAAACGCGAATAAGGACGGACGCGAGCTTCCGATAGACCAGAATCATTGAATGAGCAATTCCAGGTACGATCTTCTCAATTGGAACATAACCAGAATGATCTACCGCTAGGTTATCGAGCTGGGAATTTGAATGTAGCGAATAGAGAAAGCATGCTCAAAAAAATTAAAATGCCAAGCTTCGATGGTACCAAACCGTATGAGTGGATAACAGATGTGGAACATTTCTTCTTTGTGGGACGTTATGTTGAATCAGAGAAACTGGATCTGGTATCTTTGAGCTTATCAGGAAAAGTGAGGAAATGGTTTGGATGGGAGGTACATCGGAATGGATTCAGAAATTGGTCAGAGTTTAAAGAAAAGTTGCTGCTACGTTTTGCTGAATCAGTGGACGACGAGCCAGAGAACAGATTGTTGTCAATACGTCAAACAGGATCTGTGAGTGATTACGTATCGGAGTTTGAGGAGCTGTCATCATTGGTATCGGGTTTAGAAGACAGATATTTGATCAAGATTTTCTACAAAGGATTAAGTCAGGAAATGCAGGAAGTGATACGTATGAAGGAGCCAGTGGGGTTAAGGGCACATATTGCTGCAGTTCTGAAAATGGAATCAAGCACTTTCTGTAAAGTGGTGGGTGATGCAACTCGTACAGAATACAAAGGACAGATTCGCAACACCGGGCAACTAAGAACTTCATCTGGATACAACAGCAACAGATATCAAGCCCAACGCGAAAGTACAGGAGGAAACTGGAATGGAGTGGGGGCTGGAAACAGTCAGAATAAGCCACAACCGAGCGGAGGTGAACAGAAACTGAATAAATAATCCCAAACAACAAACAGACAGGAATTGAGACCAAGACAAAGGTACTCAGACCTGCAACTAGATGCGATGAGAAAGGAAGGATTATGTTTTAAATGTGGAGCTAAATGGTCCAAAACACATGGAAGAGAATGTCCAATGAAAGAACTAAAGATATTAACAGTCATTAATGGGTATGATATGGAAGTTCTTGGGGAAGAGGAAGACGCATACGAAGGAGAGCAGGCACTAGTGGTGCAGGAATTGATGGTTTTAACACTAAGCTCATTTTTGGGACTTCATTCTCCTAAGACTACTAAACTCTATGGTAGGATTGGGAAAGACGAGGTGGTAGTCTTGCTCGATAGTGGAGCATCACACAATTTCATTTCACCAGAAATTGTGAACAAGCTACAACTGAAACTTTGTGCGGATAGTTGCTTGGACGTGTTGTTAGGCAATAGGATTACAGTCAAGGGCACAGGCATATGCTGAGACTTAAACTTCCAGTTGTCATCTGTTAACTTCACGTCAGACTTCATCTCGTTAGAACTAGGAATGGTGGATGTAATACTGGATGTTCAATGGTTAGAGACATTAGGAAAATGTGAAATAGATTGGAAGAAGCAAGAAATGTCATTCTGGCATGAAAGAGAACTAGTGACATTATACGGTGATCCAAGTCTACATTTTCCTACTCTATCACTGAAAACCTTGTTAGCAAAGTCTATTATTGAAGAGGAAGGTGTAGAACTCTTTAGTAAAGACTTAGCAACATCTACAGAGATTCCTAGAGTGCCGTTGGGAGTAACAGCTGTATTGGAACAGTTCACAGAAGTTTTCAAGGTTCCTACAGGGTTACCCCCATTCAGAGGCAGAGATCATGCAATAAACTTGAAGCTTGGGGTCTCAGATATCTCAGTGAGACCATACCGATATCCACATGCAAGTAAAATTGTTATGGAACAAATGGTTCAGGATATGTTGGCTTCAGGGATTATCAGACCCAGTAATAGTCCATTTTTGAGTCCAGTGCTTCTGGTTCGAAAAAAGACTCTTCTTGGAGGTTCTGTATCGATTATAGAGCTTTGAATAGAGCAACAGTTCCTGATCGCTTTCCAATACCGATAATAGATCAGTTACTGGATGAGTTACATGGTGCCAAAATCTTTTTCAAAGCTGGACCTTCGATCAGGGTATCATCAAATAAGGATGAAGGAATCAGACATTGAAAAAACAGCCTTCAGAACTTTAGAGGGCCAGTACGAATTCCTAGTCATGCCATTCGGCTTGACTAACGCACCTGCAACATTTCAAGCTCTTATGAACTCAATATTCAGAGAATTCTTGCGTGACTTCGTGTTGGTTTTCTTTGATGATGTGCTGATTTACAGTAAAAGCATGAGTTACCACGCAAGACACCTTACAGCTGTGTTGAAGGTTTTTGAAGAACAACAGCTTTTTGCAAATAAAAAAAGTGCTTATTTGGCCAGAATCAAGTGGAATACCTTGGCCACATCATTTCGGAACAAGGAGTGGCAACAGATGCAGTGAAAACGGAAGCCATGAGAAAGTGGCCTACACCAAGAGCCGTGAAACAGCTTCGAGGATTCTTAGGTCTCACAGGATACTATCGAAGATTTGTTAGAAATTATGGCAGCATTGCAAGACCTTTAACAGAATTATTAAAGAAAGATCAATTCTTATGGTCTGAAGAAGCACAGAAAGCGTTTGACAAATTGAAGGAGGCGATGATAACAGCACCAGTGTTGGCTCTTCCGGATTTTGACAAAGTATTCATCGTAGAATCAGATGCATCAGGCTATTGGCTAGGAGCAGTTTTAATGCAAGATCGCCAACCTATTGCTTTCTTTAGTCATGGACTAACGGCTCGGGAACAACTAAAACCGGCATATGAGAGAGAGCTGATGGCCATTGTGATGGCAATTCAAAAGTGGAAACATTACCTTTTGGGTCGAAAATTTGTGGTACACACGGACCAGAGAAGCTTGAAATACTTATTGGAACAGAAAGAAGTCAACATGGAGTATCAACGTTGGTTGACAAGATTGCTAGGCTATGAGTTCGACATACTCTACAAACCCGGATGTGAGAATAAGGCAGCCGATGGGTTATCAAGGATACCTGAACCACTTTCAGCGACAACAAACTCTATGCTATTGGCTTTAACAGTTCCATCTGCAGTACAGTTACAAGATCTGTATGAAGAGATAGCAAGGATTCAGCAATACAGAATTTAATACAACAGCTAAAGGAGGAAACAGATGAGTTCTCATTACAAAGTGATAGAAGAGAAACTATGGTACAAGAAGAGACTAGTGATTTCGAAAGTTTCCAAATTCATTCCCTTGATTCTTCGAGAATGCCATGACAGTCAGATGGGAGGCCATTCAGGGGTTCTGAAAACAAAGAAACGAGTGCAACTGTTATTTCACTGGGAAGGATTACAACGTTCAGTACAGCAGTATGTAGCAGAGTGTGAAGTTTGTCAAAAGCATAAATATTCAACATTAGCACCTGCAGGATTGCTGCAACCGTTGCCCATACCAGTGGCTATTTGGGAAGACCTGTCAATGGATTTTATAGAGGGATTACCAACTTCTCAAGGCTTTAATGTGATAATGGTTGTGGTGGATCGGTTAAGTAAATACAGCCACTTTCTCAGCCTCAAACATCCATTTAATGCCAGTGATGTTGCTTTAAAGTTCCTGAATGAAGTGGTAAAGCTACATGGGTTTCTGAAGAGTATTGTATCAGACCGTGATAAGATCTTTTTGAGCAACTTCTGGAAAGACCTCTTTCGTCTATCAGGCACGCAACTGAAGTTTAGTACGGCCTTTCATCCACAGACGGATGGACAAACAGAAGTTCTCAATCGGTGCCTGGAAACTTACTTAAGGTGTTTTGCTTCGGGTCATCCTCGAACATGGCACAAGTTTTTAGCGTGGGCAGAGTTGTGGTACAATACTTCGTTTCATTCGGCCTTAAAAACATCACCATTCAAAGTTGTCTATGGTCGGGAACCACCAACACTCATTTGCTTTGAGCAAGGATCTACCAACAACTTTGAATTGGAAGTCATGTTAAGAGAGCGTGATGAAATGTTGGAAGTAGTTAAAGCCAAACTAGAACGAGCTCAGCAATTAATGAAGAACAATGCGGATAAGAAACGCAGGGATGTGGAGTTTGAAGTGGGAAAATGGGTCTTTCTTAAACTCAAGCCATATCGACAAAGCACGGTGATTCGAAGGTTTTGTCAGAAACTAGCCGCGAAGTACTTTGGGCCATACCAGATCTTAGAACGAATTGGCAAAGCGGCCTATAGACTTGATCTTCCCACTAACTCTAAAATTCATCCAGTTTTTCACGTTTCCCAGTTAAAAGCAGTAGTGGGAGCAAATCACACCGTACAACCAATGCCTCTGGTGGATTCGGATTTGTTAGAAACAGAGCTGCAACCGGAGGATATACTAACTTCGAGATACACGGAGAATGGGGGTATTGAATATTTGGTGAAATGGTGTGATCGTTCAGACTTGGAGAACACTTGGATATTGTCAAAAGACTTTGTGAAGCAATTTCCAACCTTCAAGCTTGAGGGCAAGCTTGCTCTCAATGGGGGAAGTATTGATAAGCTTCATAATGTCTATTACAGGAAGAAGAAGAAGGAGTTAGTTACAGAGCCGTTGGAAGAGGTTAACAGCGCAACGGCTAGTGCTGAGCTGGCAAGAGGATAAGATCAATCTAACGGCTATGCAAAGACTCGGAAGGAAGGAGAGGGTTTGACCACGAGGAAGAGAGTCAAAGCTATATAAGAGTGTAGTGAGCCGTTAGGAGAGTTTATGCAAATTGTATTCTAGTTTCTGTAAAGAGAGCGTCATGAGCTCTAGAGGATCGTTATGAGATCCTGGATTCGAGAATACATTTGTAATTGATCTGTAATTCTTCTCTCATATCAATAAAGAGTACATTCAGTAGTTGAGGGAGATCTAAACTCTATCACCCGTCTCGTTGTATGCATCAGTCTGCAATAGTATAAACTAAACTTTTGATAAACTGGAATTTTTTACAAAAATTATTTTCATCGCTCAAATCATTTTTATAAATTTAACAAGATTTTTAATAAAAGCATATTTATGATAAAAGAATCGAACATATAGCATATCTACCCAGTTAATAGAGGTAGACAATAATTTGATTCTAGTAGTATTTGAATTGAAACATACCGTCCAATAGATAAAGAATCGCGGCTGATAGTCATGATATAAGTATGGATAAACCTATATAGTAAAAAAAAAAAAAGATTAATAGATATGAAATTTAGAACTAGTAAAAATAAAATAAAATCATTGTTTTAATTAAGTAAAAGCCAACCTGCCAGCCAGCCTCGATACTGTTGACGTCGTTGTTGTTGTAGGAACCAGAAGTGAGCCAGATCTGACCCAAGCTAAACTCATCCGACCCCTCTATGTGTGGATGCCATACGTTCATAGTTGCTTGCGTTCCATATATTTTTGGTCGTTTTTTCATTCTGCCTATTGCATACTAGATTTACACACAAAAAATTATACAAGTTCTCAACACGTTAGTTTTATGAACTCTATATGATAGATGAAAAAGAATATAGAAAATGTGTTAGAAATTTTTAATATACTTTCATGCATTCAATTTTTCGGTATAGTACTCTAATTCCAGTTTTTCAGGTTTTCAGTGTTTAGAAAATAGGCTCTATGAAAACTGGGTTATAATTTGGTTTCACTTCGGTAATTCGGCTAAAAAAAATATAGTATAGATAGAAAGACAAAGACAGTTAATTTTGTTCACAAAAATAAAAACAAAACTCACTCAGTTCAAGCAAGAACCTATCTTAGTGGGCTGCCGTTTTCTTCAACCTTTTCGTTTGGGCTTATTATTACGTTACTGGGCTCGATTTATTGCCCTAGATCTTGGTTGGTTCATATAAGCTTCTTTATATATAGGATATATATAGCTATATATCTAAGTTGTAATAGGATTAAAAATAAACTCAGCCTTCTGGTTACTGCACTTTTTCATTTTCTACTGTAATTAATTTCATAAGAATACCTTTTCATATATAAAAATAATTCATGTTATAGATTTTAAATAATCTTTAAATGTATATTTCTATATATTTAAAAGAATAATATTAATTCTAATTTTGGTCAGTAAAAAACAAAAAATCAACCACGTATAATATATATATATATATATACCTCGTGATTTTTGGTGGCTCTGTCCCCGGAATTAGAGCTAGAAGTCTGGTTATGATGAGAGAGCACCCTTCTTATTGGAATCGATCCTTCGGGGCATTTGGTTCCGCTCTGGTGCCAAATTTGCCAACCATATCCCATTTCCGTTTCTTTGTTCACCATATATGGTAGTTTCGTCGGTCGTTCCTATATATATTATATTTACAAAACAAAACAAAAACAAAGAAGTTTATTAGTTTCTTCCCTGAAATAACAGTTCGACTATTGGAGGAATTAAGAATTCGAAAGTCTCATTGTTTGGTTGTTCTGTTATTTTGCGTTCTTGTTAAATTTCTTCAGATATTTGCGATCATCGATATCAGGCCCATCTCTAAGAGAGGTGCTATAACTGTCGTCAAACACATAGCTTAAAACAAGTGCCCAAATTCTATTTATTAATGACCAAATTGACAATCAGTATAAATGAGATGTTGAGGATTTTTTTTTTAAAAAAGAATTTAATTAAGGTGTGGTATTATAACACAAAACCCATAAATTATTTGGGCAGTCCCTAGTCGTTATTAACTCTAATTAAATTTGTATTTCATATTATTGGCCTGTGGTTTTTTTTTTTTTTTTTTAACAAAAGTTGGCTTATGGTTTTAATAAATAATTTCAAAACGAGTAAATACAAAAACCTGCAGTGTATGGTTCTTGAGAAGTGGATGCCGAAACGCCGGCTGTTCTTCTCTTTTGACGCAGTCGACAATATCGCCGTCGGGGCTCTTTTTTTATATCATGAAAAGAACAAGTCAGTCTGTTAAAATGTGTGTAATGTATAAGGTAAATCAAATTAATCTATCAAACATTTTTTTTTTTCGTTTCTTTGAACTATAAGTAATTATCAGACCTAAGTATTAAGTAGATTTTATACCTTGATCGTTAAGACCGGGGTTGGGTTTGAGACCCCAACTGCGAGGCAGAGGGCGAGAGCCAGTAATGAGGCTGCCGCGAGGGACAAACGTCGATTTTCACAACCGGAGGGAGGAAACACAGCCATGGCGGAGAAAGCAGTCACCATCAGGACCAGGAAGTTCATGACCAACAGGAAGAGCCAATGTTTCAAAGGCTGAGCTGAAGGAGAAGTTGGCAAGGATGTACATACGAGGTTAAGGACCCAAACGCTAACTTTGTCTTCAAATTGAGAACCTACTTCGGAGGTGGTAAATCTTCTGGATTTGGTTTGATCTATGACACCGTCGAGATTGCAAAGAAATTCGAGCCGAAATACAGACTGATCAGGAACGGACTTGACACCAAGATCGAGAGATCAAGGAAACAGATGAAGGAAAGGAAGAAGAGGGCGAAGAAAATCCGTGGTGTTATGGTGGCCCCAAGAAGAAGTGAGATCGATGTTGAAGACAACAGCAGAATTAATTATAGGGTTTTATTCTGCATCATCGCTTCTTTATGGCCATGTTTGTGCTTTGTCATTGTCACACTCGTTTTATCTTGTTTTGGGTTTTGCTTAAGGGTGAGAGCTAGAACCCATTTGCTAAAGATGTTGCCTAATACATTTATTTAAAAGTTAACTTCAAAAAAAAAAAGCGTATCAATAAATATTGAATATGCATGCTTTTTGCCCTAATTAATACTTATCAATTAAGTTAGTTCGGAATTGTAGATACCTTCCGGTTTTGGTTCCCGCGTAGTTTCTGCTGGCTTTGATCGCTTTAGTGTAAATACAGTCTCTGATCGGAGAAACGTGAGCTTACGAACGAGGGCACAGATACTCCCAAAACCCTATGTGTAATTTGGTTGTCCACTTTCTCAGTTTCAGGTCACTTCTCAAACAACCATATACTGTATATATAATACTCGCTCGTCCACTTTTTTTTTTCAGGTCACTTGTTAATTTATCTTTTGATTCAAATTTGGTTCATTTATTGTGTAAGAATTTGCTTTACGTTATTTCCATTCTAGAAAAGAAGATGAAGAAAAAATTGACATGTACACAAGATGAAACAAACAAAGAGGAGAAGATGCCTTTTAACTTTTGTTCTTGGTTTTTTTTTAAATAGATTTCGGGATGCCTTAATTATAACTTGTATAATAGATTAGGAATAGTTCGATTATACAAAACCTATATATTCTCGTATGTTTTGGATACTGATTTGTAATTCGTATAATTATATCATTTCTTAAGAAAATCATAATTTTGTAATTTCACATCAATTCTGATTTTATCAATATATTTTTGTTAGTTTTTTGAAAATTATTTAGAAAAACATATGTAACTACTTTTAGTTTCAAATAATTTGAAATCATTATGTGTGGACAGAGAATTGATACCAGAAACATGTTTTAGTTTAGTTTTGTAAGTGGAGTTCACTTATATGAATGACCATATAAGAATGTTTTTCGAAACCGGACCTTCGTTTTCTTTACATCCGGAGCACCATGCTGTCCATGCATATATATAGATAAAGTCATTACGTAAAAAATAAAATTGGATCATCCCAAAATGGAAATCTGCGAACAAAAATTCCACGATTAAGTATTTAGTGGATAAACCACTCTCTCTCTCTCTCCACACAATTTTATGTTTATTTATTTATTTTGTAATGTCTCTTTATTATATTACACTTTTACCACCCAAAAATATGTTGGTGATATAATCAGAAGAATTAAAAGATTTAAGTGATGTTTTTTTTAAAGATTCATATAAAGGTAAAATTTTATTAAGAAAAAGCTCGAATGAAAATATGTTTGATGGTGTCAAGTGGGTTTGGCTTGTTTAAAATAATTAGTCAAATTTTAGTGAATCTTTAATTTTTTACCGCAACAAAAGTATGTGTCAAAAATAAAGGAGTGAAGGGTAATTAAGGGAAATGAGTGTGGCTAAACAAAGCAGAGGGACCGTAAGATATGAAGGGTCCAGTGAAAGGAATTAAGGAAAAAGAGAGTTGTGCAAAACTTTGCAAAAGTACATATTCCACCAGAAATATATAAAGAGGGTACATAATCCGGCCTGTTCTAATTCTATATTACTATATCATAAGAAATTGCATGTCAAAATATTGCGTGTACTTCAATTAACTAAAATTCAACACAGTATGGATAGCTAAAAAAATATGGCCAAGGTCCAAGACAAAAGGGAAATTTGAGAGGCAAATAATTCTAATGGCGAAATAAATTAAATATTGCTAAAAAATATAAAATATACTGTATAAAACAAATAAATATTTCTAGAAAACATATTCCCTGGATTTGTTAGATCAAGGGACTTAACCTCAAAAATCTACGATTTTGTTTATAAAAATATCAAATTAAATACAGATATATAATATACATCCTAATTACAATTTTGTCAATGCTAACTCTTATAAAAGAGAAACTTCAGCAAATTTCAGACATTTCCATCCTAAATCGAAACCAAATATCTACAATTGTACTTCAAATTTTTTTATTAAGACATTTCCATCCTAAACCGAAATCATAGTGTTTTGGAGGATAAAAGGGAAACTTCAGCAAATTTAAAATTTTCGTTTTATCTTTATAGATTCTACTTTGCATTCACTTTCACTACTTGTCAAAAGTAGCTTTCACAGTCTCAAGTTGGCTTTAAGTGTGCATGTCTTTGCAACAATTGATGTAATCTGCGGATATTCCCCCTCATCTCGTTTAATGATTAATATTTTTTTCTGGTAAGAATTTTAATGAATAACTAGATTCTAACTCCGTGCATCCGCACGAGAATATTTTTTATTGTTTAACAAATTTTGTAATATAATTTGTGTTTTTGAGTTTAGATATAATTATTTTTATAAATATATTTTTTAATAAGTGAAAATATTGATTTTTGTGTTTAGATATATTTTTATAGTATTAAAATAAATTATGATTATAAAAATATAATTTTAACATGTCCGCTAATATTAATTCAAAATGAACTATTATAAAAACATAATTTTAATTTTTCCGTTTATATTACCGTATAATATAAATATTTGTTAAAAGTTTGAGATGTATTAACAGTATTATTTTAGCATTATAGTTTTCTAAAATTTAATCAACGAAGAGAGTTTACAACTAGTTTTTCAAACCACATTATAGTGTATGCAATAATTTTTAAGTTTTTATGTTTTTATTTTGTATGAAAAATATATTTTCGATATACATGTATAATTCAAAATTAGTGATTTTAGTTACCAAAATATTTTTAACTCGGTTTTTATATATATTTTTAGTTCTATAAATTTTAAAAAATATATTTTTAATATTTAAATTATACATTTAAATTTTACCTATTATTTTATTATTAATTTGTAAATAAATCATAATCGTAAATATATTATATAAACAACATAAATATCATATCATTTACATCATATAAATATTTTATATTTTAAATATGACCATTATTTTTTATATGTAAATTATTTTTTTTCAAAAATTCTACATATTTTTGATAAAAATGTTTAATAGTATAGAAATTATTTAAATTAGAATCTTTAAATCAAATCTAAATTAATATCTGATTTATTATTTTTAATCAAATCAAATCAAATCTAAATTACCTATATTTAAGGAACTCTAAAAATATTTAAATTAATAACTAATTTTCGAAATTAAATATAAATAATTATTAAAATTATTTTTAAATACTTAAAAAAAAATTAGGAGTGTTTGGAAGCAAGTACTAAATATGCTTTTGTTTTAATATAATAGATTCAGTAACATATAATGTTGCAGTTCAATCAAACCAAAGTCGATTTGATTTGGACAACATCAAAAAATAGCTTAGAATTTCAAAGAAAATATGTTTGTATAAATTGGTTTGGTTTAATCAAATCAAGATTGAATTGTTCGAGAGATTTAGTCAATTTTAGTGAGATTTTTTTTTATATGTTATTTGTTGTGACAAACAAAAAAATCTTTGTTCAGTTTTTCATTTGCTAGCTCCACTTATAAGTCAAATGAAAAGTTAACACAACTTATTCTTGTAATGACTCTTATAATTTTCTATTTACTTATTCTTTTCTGGCGGTATGACTAGATCATTACCAATTAGAATTCTTTTTATTTTTCATAAAGTAATCACAATTAGATTCTTAGAGAGAATCTACACATCGATTATGAATTCAACAATAACTAAACAATATAAACGACACAAGTCTTCTATTAAGGTCAAAAGCAGCTACTAGAAACACAAGAAAAGATTCGGAGCTAGGTTTTTAATTTGATGAGTTTTTCTTCGATTATATTTTTCTTATATATAATAACAGTATAGCAAAAATTCGAACATATTCGAACTGAAACGGTTGTAAAAGAAATTCGCTATATTTCGTACGAAATCTGAAATCATACCGTACCAAGTTTAACGATGAATTTAGTGACTACACTAGAATCTGGTCTTGCAGCTCTTTTACGATTGTTCGTGAGATGTGAATATTAACGATCATTTAAAAGTAATCCCCATTTTGGTTTGGAATCTATAAAACTATAATGACAACTAATAATAACAAAATTAAATTTTAGCCTAACATTATACCGGCTCTGAAAACAATGCATTGGCCTCGAGAGTAGCATTTATCATTTTAAAAGAAGTAGCTAAACTTGTTCTTCTTTCTCTTTATTTGTCGGCCGCTAAACATGTTCTTAATAAGAAAGAAAGCTTTTATAAAAAAAGGGCTTAATTTAGATGAGAATCGGTAATGGCCTGCTTATGTATGTGCATCAGTGCGTGTATATATCTGGCCATTGTATACGAAAAAAATGGACAAGAACTATTATTTAGACATATTATATAATGAGTATAATATTCATGTGAATTGAGGTATATGCAGAAATTGAACTAGCAAGACTTGGAGATTGCCCATAAGGGTGTTGTTCATCATACAGAACATAAGAATGCATCATGGTCTTCATGGACTGTGCAACGTTAAAGTTCAAGTTCGGAAAATGTGTTTCCTCGATGCTGTTTGCACCAGTTTGATATTTGCTTCTATCAAATTTTATATGATATACTTTTCCTTAATAGTTATTGATATTGATCTGTTGTCTTCGGCAACTACTTACTAAATAAAAGCTATTTTCTAATTTTTATCACAACTTTTCTTCTTAAACGTCAAAATTCATAATTGCCACGAGCCGAATTAAATAGGCGTTTGCGTTTTATAACTTCACGTTTAGGTTAGTTACATTTGTTTATTGTAGTTGTTTTATTATTTATTTCGCAGTTACTACAAAACAAAATGTAACTGTTAAAGTAACGGTAGATGAAAGACCAATTCATTTACACAATCCAATGCCCAAATAATTACAAAAGTATATTCCATTCCCTTAATTTGTTTTAAAGAAAAGGTTACGGTATATATGACCCGACCGTATGAGTCTAATTCCAAAAGTATATTCCATTCTTTTGTTTTAAAGAAAATGTTCCTCTTTCTACTATTTTCTTTCACGATCCATCTTTCTTCAATTGCTGTATATTACTCCACCCATTGTCCTTTACGACTTTATTGTTCTTCAATCAATTCAAACTACCTCTCAGAATTTTAATGTCATGAAATTACGTGAACATTTTCTTTTGCAAAATCGCAAAATAGCTAGAAAAGTTTTCATATAAATTTTTAATGGTATCGAATAAATAAAGTTGATTTATATGTTGTGTCAAAAAGGATAATTTGATGTTAATTATATAATTATTACGCTCTTGCAGTTTTATTTTCCAAGATTATCGATGTTGGCATAGCCGCATAGGCATAGGTATGGTAGTTTTTTTCATTGTTTCCACTTTCCTTGATATTATATGTGTGATTATCACAAGATAAAACTTAATTACATGTTTGTTATACGGGACCTTTGTTATACCGATCGTGTAAATCTGCTGGTAGTTTACTAATTTACTTAAAAGCCCATAAATGAATTAGGAAAATGATAGAATACATATGAAAATATTTTACAAATGGCATGGGTGTAAGAATATTGATATATTTAAAGTTTTTTTCAATTAATATATATTCATTTTGTTTCAAAAAGAGTGTCATTTTAACATTTTATTTTTGTTTTACAAAGAATATCACTTCGTATTTTCAATGCAAATATTTTTTTTTAAATCTAATTTAACTTTATTGTTTTAATGTATTAATTAAAGAGAGAAATTTTGTTTAATGTATTAATAAGGGATAGAATAGAAATTTTATTAGTTTCCTTAATTTATGATGTGTCAAAATGACACTATAAGATAGAGGAAGTAGAAGATAAGGCTCAACAAAAAAAATATAACAAAAATAAAATTAAACAAAAGTAACACTGATTCGGTTTGTTATAGCTAGCAAATACTTGTAGAAAGTATCAATACTAAACCCTAAGGTTTCGAGAGAATATTGTGATTTCTAAATGATGTGATTTTTTTCTCGGTGTTAATGATGTTATTTTTAGTTCGATTAACAAAACTGATGAATATAATTAAACAATAAAATCATAAGTACAATATTTATTAATATAATAATAGGAAATATTTGTTTTAGTGTGATATTTCATGTTGTGATTTGAGAAAAAAAGTTTAATCTTAAACTACATCAAATATGGTGTAATTTATTATGTTCTCATGATTGGAGAAGTCCTTAATCAGCACAAGATCATTGTAAATGCAAAAGAAGTTGAAAAACAAATCCATGGAGGCAGAGCATAATGTGTGTTTTTTAATTTTTTCTTTAATGTCCTTACTGATCATACCTTTAGAAACAGTGTTTCTATAACCGAAATAGAAAACAATTGCAAGCAGAAAACATGTTTTGCAGAAAATATACGGCGCGTAAAAGATTATAACGCCATGCATTCGTGCGGGCTGTTGAAAGCGAGAGATTAAGTTTTTTTTTTTTTGGTTAAATCGAGAGATTAAGTTTTTTAAAAACTAATTAATTTACATGTGATATAAATTCAATTTATTCATAAGAAATTTATTTAATATAATCTATTATATTAAAACAGAAGCACTTTTAGTGCTTGCTTCCAAACACTCCTAAAGTTTTTTAAAAATTATTTTATTTAATATTTATATTTAATTCCGAAAATTATGTATTAATTTATATATTTTTAGATTCTCCTTAAATATAGGTGATAATTAATTTAAAATATTTATTTTATATTGATATTTAATTTCGAAAATCAGTTATTAATTACGAAAATTTAGATTTAATTTAATTTAAAATATGATTTGAGGTAATTTATAAGATATTAATATGATTTAAGGTAGTTAAATGAACAAGTTAGCAAATTTATAAATATATCTATTTTTATAATAACACAAATGGTACTTGAATATCTTATTATATTTTATTACAATTAAATCGCCCTAAAATATCAAATATTTAATATTAATAAATATTTTTATAATTTTTATATTATAATAATATGATAAAGCAAGTTAGAGTTATGCATTTATAATTACATTTTTATACAAGTTAGTTTTTAAAAACATGTAAGATATTAAAAAATAGCTCGACATCAGAATGATTAAAACTTAACACATTTCATTCTTATTATTTTTTTATATTTGAAAAATTAAAAAAATGAATATTCTTGATTTAAGAAAATAAATAAATAATAAAAACAACTTATATCTAAACAAAAAAATAAATACAAATTATATTAGAAAAAACAAAAAATTCTCGTGCGGACGCACGAGGTTAGAATCTAGTATTATATTGAAGTCGTTTCTCACATTCTATCCAAAGAATTTTAAAAAGAAGGTCACTGTGCTGAAGCCTAAAAAAATTTTAACTAACAAGGGCCCAAAATTCTATTTGTTAATTTGTTGACAAAAATAAAGCTATATGGGACCTGGTTCATGATATTCAGAGGCTGAAGAACACTTGGTACTTAGTTCTTTAAAACCGATCCAACAGTTGTGATTATTGTTTATGGCATTAACATTACATGATCATTTATTATCATTTTTTATTATATTTTGCTCATATTTCACATATGTTTTATTTTTCTTTCTGTGTTACGCATATGTTTTATTTTCTTTTCTGCATATATTTTGCTTATAATCAGGGTCGGATCTGGCCCAAGTCCATTGAAACATTTGTTTCAACCCCTAAATTTTTTAATCCAATTTAACTTATAAAAAATTTTTTAACTATAAATCTTTTTTTATATAAAACTAATTATAGGCCTTCATTTCTGTTTTTGTTTTCAAATCCCCAAAATCTTAGATCCGGCCCTGTTTATAATATATTTATTTTTATCTATTATTCATGTGTTATTGTACCTACTAAAACTCAAGTACTAGAGTAGAATATAGACACTCTAAAATACATGATTGAGCTAGTTCATATTAAAAACCATTCCAATGCAAATATCAGTAGCTAGTACAATCCAAACATTACCGAGATACAAGGGAAAAACAAAATCTAAAAGAGTGAAATACAGAATAACAAAGTCCAATATAGGATAAACTACGTTCGAATTAAGTTGCTCCAGACCCTGTAATTAAAATGACTACTATTCAACTTCTTGCCACAATGGTAACCAATCACAGCCATAGTAAATATAAAAAAAAATTATTTATTTATATAAAAAAACTAAAAGTCAATTCTATTAGGAAGTATCTCCCTGAGCTGTGTACTCTTAAAAACCTCCTCTTTTGGGCTTACAATTCTGTAAATGTGCTCGAATCATTACCCTAAATTGTTTGGTTAAAACATAAAATATGTTAACAAAAAAACCTTTCAAACAGTAAAAAAGCTCGGTTGCGCGGCTAAGTACTTCTGTTTCACCTACATACCATAATTAAACCATTAATATTACGACTCGTTCAGGCAACAGCACGACGTTTTATTAAAGAAAATCGTGTCAACTTTATATTACCAGAGGAAAATACACGGCGGGTAAGAGGTTTAAACGGCATGCATTCGTGCGGGCTGTTGAAAGCGAGAGGTTAAATTTTTTAAAAACTTATTAAATTACATGTAATAAATTCATTTGATTCTTAAGAAAATATAGAACTCGTCTCCTGTCTCTGACACTCTATCCAAAGAATTAAAAAAAAAAGAAGGCCATTAAAAAAAGAGGAAAGACAAATTCCAGAAAACAGACGCAGAATCGTCGTCGTCTTCGTAATCCATCTTTGCATTCCGTCGGAATCTTTTGATTTCATAAATCGGAATATCTGTTTTTCTTTGTCCGGCCAAGAATCATTTTTCCCGGAAGCTAATTGTTGATTTCCCTGGATTCTTCAAATTTTATTTAATCTGTTCTTTGTTGAAAAGTGGATTCTTGAGTTTCGATTGAAAAAATGGATTCCGATTCCTGGAGTGATCGTCTCGCATCAGCTTCAAGAAGATACCAGCTGGATTTCTTGTCGCGATCTGGTGAGTTGAAAGAAAAATGTGGATTGTTTTATTTGCAAATAATTTTTATTTGAGATTTGATTTTGTTGCCTGAAATGAAATGTACGAAGGAGAGAAGTGATATGGTTGCGATTCTATGCGAAAGTCACTGTCTTAGAACTCTGTTATTTCGTTTGATTGATCAAAGATCGAGGTTGAATAACAAAATGGAGATTTTTTTTTCAATGTGTTTTGTTGATGTTGAATTGGTTTTCCTCGATTGTTTAGAGGAAAATGGAGGAAAATCCATCGGAAAAAATTCTGTCTTTGAGGCATTTTACTCATGTGAGGATATTAGGGGACTAAGCGTGTGTGTTAGTTATACGGAGATCTTCTTATTGGGTTTTGTGATAAACTTCTCAAAAGCTGGAATCTTGATTCTTGTTTGACCAACAAGAAATACAAAACTTGTTGTTGGTAAAGTAAAACGTGCAAAGCTAGTTTCATCTCAAAAGCTAGACATCTGTGCCAGGGAAGATTACATATTTTGATGTTCCTTCTAATCTCCATTTATATTTGTATATTGTAACTGCAAGAATGGAACGCATTTTTAGTACTCCCATTTTTGTCTAGGCTCTGTTTTGTCGTTGTAGCATTTCGGAATGTTCTCTTTGCTCTGTAGTTTTGCGGTATTTGACCATTTGTCCTTCTTTCTTTTTTTATGAAAATGCAGACAATTTCTTGGGGTTAGAGGAGATAGAAGGAGATGATGATTTCAGGGAGGAGTATGCTTGCCCGTTCTGCGTAGACTATTTTGATATTGTGGCTCTATGTTGTCACATAGGCGAAGATCATCCTGCGGACGCAAATAATGGGGTAAATTGTTCCCCAATATCATTCTGTTTATTGTTTTCATCACCCATGATACTTTGTAGATTGAGCAGAGCACTGTTCTTTGCTTAGTAGTCGCTCCTCTTGGATATAAGATATTGAAAGCAGCCAAATTTACAAACACTGATGAGCTGTGAAATATTTTGTTGTCAGAAAAAAGATTGGAGTTGCCAATCGGTTTGCTTTAGACAAGATATCAATTATAGGATTGTCAGTAGAGTTGTTACTATAGGAAGATTTGTTTTTCATTATGCGTTCCAACTTGTGTTTAAATCCTGGAGATTGACATTTTGTTCCTTGTAGGTATGTCCTGTTTGTGCGGTGAGAGTGAGCTCTGATATGGTTGCTCATATCACCCTTCAACATGCAAATATGTTCAAGATATCCTTTTTTTTTTCCCGACCAGTTTTTTATATTTTTTTTTAACGATCATTTACATTATTGTGATTCCTCAAAAGAGTTGTGTTTCATACATTCCTTAACGAAAACTTACGTGACGCGGAAAAGGAAATCAAGAAGAAGCGGTGGGGCTCAATCCATGCTATCGATCTTGAAGAGAGAGTTTCCTGATGGAAATTTTCAGAGCTTATTTGAAGGATCTTCACGTGTTGTATCTTCTTCTTCGTCCAGTATAGCTGCTGACCCTTTGCTGTCTTCATTCATTTCGCCAATGGCCGATGACTTTTTCATTTCCGAGTCAAGTCTATGTGCAGAAACAGGTTCTGCCAAGAAAACATATAATCAGAGTTTGCCTGAACGGTATGCTTAACTCGTTCTCAGGTTGAATATATTCTCATTTCATATATCCCTGCTGAATAATTTTTGTCTTGACTGGATTGTACAGAAATGTTGAAAAGAAGTCACTTTCAGCAGAGGATCACAGAGAAAAGTTGAAACAGAGCGAGTTCGTTCAAGGGATTTTGAGCTCTGCGATTCTTGATGACGATTTATGAAGGAGAAACGTTGTAGCAACTTTCTGACGATTATTGAAATTCAGCAATTGGGAAAATGTAACGTATTTTTTCGGGGTTTGGGTTGAGAGCAGAATAATGTTTAAGAGCTTCGTAACGAAGAGGCAAGAGAGACATGATAGTATTAATGTTAACTTATGGAACACATTTTCTCAAATGAAGACACGAGTTGTCTGTAGACTGTAGGTCGTAAGAAGACAACAGGGAAGAAAATGTATGCATTTGATCATATATGGCACTGTGTTCTGTTCTTGAGATTTTCAGTATAGTTCCAGTTTGCCTCAGTGAATATTAGTGTGGTGTCTGTATTACATTTTTTTTCTAATAAATTATGAACATCTTTTTTAATTTGGACAAAGACGCATGATATTTGGACACAGCCTAACAAACAAGTTACTGAACTATTTAGCAAAAAAAAAGAAGCAAGTTATTGAACTAGAATATTGAAGGGATTTACACCGGAGCCAGAGGGAACCTTTCTAATGTGTTATGAATATCACCAAAGGAAGTATTTTTAAAAAACATGGTTATTGTCTGGCTGTATGTAAGACGTTGAGAGACCAGTCCAATTTACCACCTTCCTGGTCAGTTTTTTTTTTTTTTAAATTCAAACAGATGCGGTATATATAATTTAAGAAAAAAATATTAGACTAGATGATTGTAGGGCTTTACCCCGAAGGGAGCCCTTCCAGAAATTCTCGAAGGCCCAAGACAAGCTTAGGCCCAGGAGGGGGTTTGGAAATAGTTTTCAACCAGCAATAGACGCGCCTCGGTTAGTACCTCATTAGCTGCGTCATTGCCCCAAGCGCAAAGATGAGTTTTAGTGAAGGAAAGCCTCTTTATTTTATATCCAAACAAATCCGACCAACTTGCTATATACTTCCGATGTGGGATAATTGAATCAGAATGGTGTTTCAATTTTTTTTCTTAATACAGTCGATTTACTTACGAAATAAATTTTGCCCAGAAAACATTTTATTAGCATTCCGTGACAGAAACATAAAAGTTAAATAATTATTAAGTTTCTTTATTAGCATTCCGTGACAGAAACATAAAAGATTAAAAACTGTAGAATGGTAGGGACCGCGCGAACGCAGGCCCCCTCTGCCACAAATAATGACGTAGGCTCTTCCACTTGGGAAGACCTTAAGCTAAGCACCCTTCCGATATGTGCAATGGAAGTCACTAGCCTAGGCCACTCGTCTTCTTGATCACGAGTTGACCCCGTCCAGGTAAGTGATTTGCTCAATGTCTTCTCTTCTTCTCTTATACTCTGCTTCCTCACCCATTCTTTTCACGTGTACCCGATGTGGGATATATTAACGCTCCTCACATGTACAGTCTTGAAATGGCAAATATATTTGGGTTTTATGAATTCATGGCCCGAAAGCTATAGGCCCAGTTAAGTATTTGAGAATCTGCAAATGAACCAATCTCTAAATTAAGTCTTATAGTATGAGAAAAAAGAAGTGTAAGCAATTTAGTTATGAGCAGTTAAGAGATTGATGAAATAAGAGAATCAAAACAGAAGAGTAATACCGCCATACGTACACTTCATCGATCAAACACTAGTTGCTCTTGCTGCCTTCGTTGATCTACTTTGGAGCACAATGGAATAATGGATGAAGAAGAACCTCTTAGTCGAACTTTAAGGACAGGTGTAGAACCTTCACTAAATCCTCCCACCAAAACGTTATTGAAAAAAAAGGCACAACCATATATATTTCTAGGCCATATCCGGCCATTAATTTAGAAATTAAGAATTGTATTGATTTGTAGGGCAAGAGACTCTTATATGATCGATTGATATAGGAAATTGTCTAGGGTATCGTGGTAGTTAAAATATGGAAGATTGAATAGTGTAGTAGTTCTAATGCCCAGCTCATCGTTTTTATTTGTCGGAATTTTTAGAAGTAATGATTAAATTAAGAGAATCATAATATGAAAAAATTTCTTTATTTTTTTTTAATAATTAATCGCGCATTATATATCTCCTTATAAAAATCGACCATTATTATATATTTTTCACTAAAATTGTTTATACCTTATTCTCATAATGTATATCGTAGTTGGAACATAATTTTTTTGCATGTACACATTTTTGCTTAAACAGTTCATTCAATCACTTATTGAAGACTGTTAGTGGTCTACGTACATATATCTAAACTTGCGTGTTTTCTAATATTTCCTAAATTATTATGAAAGAGTTTAGACACTGCACACAAAAGGGAAAAAAAGAAGAAGAACATATACTTAGTTGCTACCATAACAATGGCTGTTGTGATCTGACAGTGTTATACCACAACATCTATTCAAGGCCAAAGTGTTTAGGTCGGGAGAGACAGTAGACCTTGTTTGCTATTTTGAATGTTGTAATCCCAAAGAAAAAGTAGACACTTGAGGACCCCCTCCAAAACCCTCACACATCAAAAGTGTTTTCCAAGTACATCAAATCATTATCCTCTAACCTCTTTTGTCGTGTTCCGTCGACAGGTTGATTATCTATCAATTATGTTAACTGTTATTGTCTATTTTTTGGTCAGACCATTGTTTAATCTATTTATTTTTAAATGTATATCGTCGCCCTATACAATACGCAGTGTTGATCTCATATCATTTCGTTTTATTTCACACTTTGAGAAGGGTTATTGGTCTAATAATTTAAATTAGTTATATAGCTTTCATCATTCTTTAGATTCTCATTGATAAATATTTATATGTGTGGAGTTCAAACTCTTTGTGGGGTTAGATATTGAGTTTTGTTTACGGTACTTTAAACATGAAAATATACAAACTTAAATATTCCATTATACACATAATTTACAACTCTTTTGAATAATAACAATTGAAGCTTGCAAGCTTCAATGGAATATGGAAAATAATAGTTGAATTACCGTAAAAACATTTAAAGTGGAAGTATAATTTACTAGTAACACCTTTAGATATCTAAATAGATATAAAATACTATGTGTATATATAAGTTGACTATGACATGTAGTTCAGGTGTTTGTTAGTGTTCTCGGAGTGCATATCATCCGAATTTAGTCCAGTCTAATGTATTTTGTTGGAAAGAAAAATCATTTGTAAGAAACTGGAAGTGATGTTTGGTCTGTGTTTCCTACTAATTATAAGGAAGCAAATGAAATGATTTCGTCCACTTGACACTTTGACAGTCTAAAGCATAACTAGCTATCTCAACTATTAAAATTACGAACTTAAGGGCTTAATTGTTAACAATTTATAATTAGTGGCCCCAGGTCAGAGGCAATAATCCATTTATCTATTATTAAGATCCATTGAACTGAACTACCCACAAACGAATTGAATACATACAGACGTCGTACCATACATACACATTTATACATGCATATATATATATATATATCATAATATCAAAAGAGATATCTAAGCAAAGTTATACTTTTACAGGTTGGTGTGTTGTGTGTTTGGCAAAAGGGTTCTGTTCACTTCTAAAAGTATACTCAAAAATTCTAAATATATAATTTTGGTTAAAGGCAAAAAATCTGAATATTTTTCTGAATATTATATGTTAATAGTCCACTTCAATGCCAATCAAAGACCGGATAATAATAAAAACTAATATAGTAGGGTTTGTTCGTTTACACATAATCTTCTATGGTTAGACCTTAAACATGGAGAGATTTTTTAAAGTTCAGTTCTATATATTAATATTCCGACCAACTAAATATTACAACACTTGTAGATCATGATTTTCGATTTATGGGGGAGGTGTTTAAATGCAAAACTACATGTAATTTCAGTTTTAAAGTTGAAAGAAGAGAAAATGTGGGAGGTTCTGAAATTGATGTGTACTTTTGATCTGAACTTGCGTGCCTAATCCTCACTTTAGCCAGCATGTTTCTGGGCTACCTTTAAAAAGTGGGCCCATTCAATTTTCGGCCCGAGTTTTTGTTTAATCCTTAAACTTAAAACTAATACATCGATAATTAATTACCACGGCTATCGAAAATACGCGCCTTTTTTTGGGTTCGTTTCCGAAGCTCCGGTTTGAATAATTATGATCAGGTCATCGATGTTTCTATTTTTTTTTTGTTACCACTTTCAAAACTGTATGAAAGTGCATGAACAAATTTCAAACTACCAAGAATTTTATGATACATAAAAATTTTCACCTCATAATAATTTACAATTTTAGTAATAAAATATACTTCTCATTTACGAAATCACTAAAAAGATTTTATGATCTAAAATGAGCTAAATTTGAAGAATCTATGTATGGATATTAATGCTTTTGATATACCCATAGTTAATTCTTAGCTATAAAGGTATAAATGTATTAGATAAGATTTTGTAATCACACATTTCCAAACATAACCTTTATTTAACAACATTAAAATTACAACAACTCAGCCACAACAGTATATTCAGATGCACCAATCTTATAAGTAATTATTTATAATTAATTCACTCAATTCAGATGCACCAATCACACTTTAAGTTACATCAATTTATAGGTGTGCAGTTTACATATGTATTCAATTCACCAGTTGGATATACCTCTATATATACATTTTATATAGCATATCATTTGATTTATCCTGAAATGTACATATATTATTCAATTTGAATGAACAAAAAAAATACTAATAGAGGTAATTTCGTGATAAATTTTGAAAATTATGTTTTTGTAGTATTAAATTGCAATAATAATATGGTATTTTATATACAAATCTAAATTAAAGTACTATTTATTTTACCCGAAACAGTAACACACCATTTTTTTTTGTCGCTAGTAACACACCATTTAATTAGATTTTCTTATGGCGACAATCAACAGTAATTAATAAAGGTTTGCGTTTGAAAGATGTATATGGAATTTTATATAGCCTCTAGAACTGCCAAGAAAGAAAGAAATCGAACCGAAACAAACCGAACCGGGACGTCTGGAGATATATAGGTTCGGAGCGTAATGCGTCTCTTTCTCCTCCTCCGCTAGATTTTTTTTGGGTTTTTTTTGTTTGTTTTTGTTTTTGTTTTTTTTTTAATCTAAAGAGAGAGAGAAGAAAAGGGGTGAGAAAGTGTGAGCGAGAAAGTGAGGGAAAATATTCATTTGAAAAGACCTTCTTTTTTTTCTTTCTTCCGTTGCGCTTCTTCTCCTTATATAATCCGCAATTTTCTCTCTATCTTCCTCACATAGATTCTTCTCCCTCAACAAACAACAAATAACCTCATAATTTCACCCAAATTTTTTTCCTTCGCTGAGTTAGTTAAAAGGAGAGGCCTTTTTGTTTTGATCTCCGAATCCCTGCACATGGCGACATCGGAGATGAATGATCTTTCGTTCTCCGTAGTTTCCATTGTGGAAGATGTTCTTCAACAGCATAGTAGCCGATCAAGCGACGTTGGGTTGCTACCCCGGAGAGTCGAGGAATCTTGTGAGTTTGCCGATATGTTTCCTAGATCCTTTATCGTTCAAAAATCCTGGACTTTTATGAAATTAGGAGCTGGGTTTTCTTTAGGAAGTAGGATTTTGTAATAAAAATAGCCGGAAATACGATATCTCCGGTGAAATTCGGATCTATCCACGAAATGGGTTCACAATGATTTTTGCAAAAGAAGCTCCTTTGTTTAGAGAATTTTGTTCACGGATTGGTTTATTGCGTTATGTTATTAATCGAAACCTCAAGCCTCAATGTGGCTGGTTCTTAATTTAGTCCAATGTTTGCTATGTAGCTCTAAGAAGATACGAAGCTGCCGGGTGGCTTAGAGAAATGGTCGGAGTTTCTAGCGGCAGAGACTTTCCGGCTGAGCCTTCTGAAGAAGATTTTAGGCTTGGACTGCGAAGTGGGATCGTTCTTTGTAATGTTCTTAACAAAGTTAATCCCGGGTCAGTGTCAAAGGTAAATTTTTCACACTTTTACATACAAATCGCTCTACTTTGATACATATATATATGTGGAGAATTAACATCTTCTTTACAGGTTGTTGAAGCGCCGGATGATGTTGCGGATGGAGCTGCACTCTCTGCTTTCCAATACTTTGAAAACATCAGGAACTTTTTAGTTGCCATAGAGGAAATGGGCTTGCCATCGTTTGAAGCTTCAGACATGGAGAAGGTATAAAAAATGGAAGACTTGAAGAAGATACAGACGTGTAGCTTTTCCATAATTGATTTTGTTGTAACATACAATTTTTCAGGGAGGCAAGTCTGTAAGGATAGTGAACTGCATTCTTGCACTTAAATCATACAGCGATTGGAAACTGAAAGGTGGGATTGGTCCGTGGAGGTATGGAGTGAACATGAAGAATAATTTTGGATCGAGAAAACCATTCGTTAGAAAAAATCCAGAGCCGTTCATGAGTTCCATCTCAAGAACTCATTCTAGTGAAATCACATCAACTGATCAACATATGTGTTCTGATGTTGGGCAAGATCTTAGTGAAAAAGTAAGTGAAAAAGTGGAAATGTTTGTTTCTATGGCATGGGTTGTGGTTATTGATAAAAATGTCTCTGTTTTACTCTGCAGGGAGATTCTAGATCTATCAACGCGCTTGTTCGCTCATTTATTTCAGAGAGAAAGCCTGAAGAAATTCCAAGTGTAAGTATTCTGCTTGTATAGCTGTCTTTGCTGAATGAAAGCTTTCTTCTTGGCATTGATCTGTGTAAGCTTTTTAGGAGATTGTTAGCAATCCTAAGCTCAGGAATTGTTTGCAAGACTAATAGGCACCATCTCGAAACTTCTTATTGATCTTTTTTCCTATTTCAATCTGCTCAGGTTGTAGAGTCTGTGTTGAACAAAGTTATGGAAGAAGTCCAGCAGCGGTTGTCAATCCACAATGAAATGGTGAGGGCAAGTGAAATCAGTTATGATGTCATTTTTCTGGGGTGAAAAAAGTACAGCCAGTCCAATGTTTTGATCTGGCTTTCAATTTTTTTTTTCAGATCAAAACAAGTTCAAAGCCTATTCCAGAAGATGATTCTTCCTGTGAGACAGTGGTACGGTCTCAGCAGCGTGACGTAAGACAACATGAGGAAGCAAAAGAAAACAGTCCGTCACAGGTCGTACAAGAAAATTTTCAAAGACCAAATACTGAACGCTACGAAGAACAGGGGATTCTTCTGAATCAACAAAAACACATCCAGGTAACTTCCATTGTGTTGCAACTCTATGGCGTTTTAGGATCTAACACCATAGTGTGAAAATGGTTGCTTTTTACATTTCTATTCTCAGTATAGCAATCACAAGTTAGAAGGAGTTTGAACTTTGTTTTATTTCCTACAGGAGTTGAAGCAAAGTTTAAATACTACAAAAGAGGGAATGAATTTACTGCAGATGAAGTATCAAGAAGATTTCTTTCACTTAGGTGTCAACTCAGATCATGTTCTTGCTATGTCCTTGTTCAGGCCTCAATGTTAAAATGGTGAAAATATAATGTGTTTTGGGTTTTGTCACTCAGGAAAGCATTTAAATGGTTTAGCTTATGCGGCTACGGGATACAAAAGAGTTCTTGAAGAAAACCGCAAATTGTACAATCTAGTGCAGGACCTAAAAGGTAACTTGACAGAAAAAAGTTTGATTTGTGTCAGTCATACTTGGAAGATCTTGGATCACTAAGACAGTTCCATTTAATCCTTACCTTACACTTGGTAATGATTAGGAAATATACGAGTGTACTGTCGGGTTAGGCCATTTTTGCCAGGGCAACCAACTACTTTGAGTACCGTGGAACACATAGAGGAAGGGACTATCACGATCAGATTACCACCGAATTATGGGAAAGAAGGACGAAAACCATTTATGTTCAACAAAGTCTTTGGTCCTTCTGCAACACAAGGTTATCGAAAGGCTTTGAATTTATGTCCCTATAATGTTTATTTGAGTCTGTTTCTCCGTGAATAACATTAGTGGATGAATCCCTTGTTCTTCAGAGGAAGTGTTTTCAGACATGCAGCCTTTGGTACGGTCGGTTCTTGATGGCTACAATGTCTGCATCTTTGCGTACGGCCAAACCGGTTCGGGGAAAACTTTTACCATGGTAAGAACTGTTACTATGCTTGTGTTTGTGATCTTTTGCTGATGATTAGATAGTTGTTGATCCAATATACTACGGATTTTTTGAATAACTACTCTAGACAGGGCCTAAGGAATTGACTGAAGAAAGCCTAGGTGTGAACTACAGGGCACTGGCAGATCTGTTTTTTCTATCAAATCAAAGAAAAGACACGACCAGCTACGAAATCTCGGTTCAGATGCTTGAAATTTACAACGAGCAAGTTAGAGATCTACTTGCCACAGACGGCCCAACTAAAAGATATCCTTTCGATTAGCAAAAGTTTTACTGTGTCTTCATCTCTTAAGCACTGTGAGATAGTTTGGTTTTTGTTTGATCTTTAACTCGTGATTACGTTAGAAATCAGAAACAACTCTCACAATGGAATAAACGTTCCGGAAGCAAGTCTAGTGCCTGTCTCATCGACGGCTGACGTTATACAGCTGATGGATATGGGACATATGAACCGTGCAGTGAGCTCTACAGCCATGAATGACAGAAGTAGTCGATCTCATAGGTTTGTTTGTCCTTTGTATTCTTTCATGATTACTCTGTTGCATAATATGTTCTAAACACCCAATTCTTCATTTCTTTGGCAGCTGTGTCACTGTTCATGTTCAAGGCAGAGACCTCACGTCTGGGACTATCCTCCATGGCTCTATGCATCTGGTTGATCTTGCAGGAAGCGAGAGAGTGGACAAGTCCGAGGTGACTGGAGACAGGCTGAAAGAGGCTCAACACATCAACAAGTCCCTCTCGGCTCTTGGGGATGTTATCTCTTCGCTTTCACAAAAGACATCTCATGTGCCTTACAGAAACAGTAAACTCACACAGCTGCTGCAGGACTCCCTCGGTAAAATTCTCAAAACCCTCACAACTCGTCGCATTTGTGTATATACTCGCAACTCGAATTTTATACAAGCATATTTGTTTTTTTTTTTCAATTTGTGTTTGTAACTTATCAGGTGGATCAGCCAAGACGCTTATGTTTGTCCACATTAGTCCAGAAGCTGAAACTCTTGGAGAAACAATTAGCACTCTAAAGTTTGCTGAAAGAGTAGGGAGTGTCGAGCTAGGCGCTGCTCGTGTGAACAAAGATAACTCAGAGGTCAAGGAGCTTAAAGAACAGGTTTTTAAACCATACACTATGACCAGACTTTGACTCATTTTCTGTTTTCGTTTACTCTCCCCATAAAGTATCCTATCACTAATCTGACAATGTTCTCGGGGTTTTCAGATTGCTAATCTTAAAATGGCTCTAGCGAGGAAAGGAAATGGCAATGATATACCACCAAGCTCTATACCGCTAAACCGTGAGAGAATATCCAGAAGAAGATCACTTGAAACTCCTTCCATTCGACCCAAAATTCCTACCTTGGGAAATGCACCAAGCAACCTTAGGCCCCAGATTATGGATCTAAGTGGACCAGAGGTAGGCTTTGCCTTCTTTCAGGAGCAACCAAAGTTGTTGAATAAAACTAATTAGACTTATGTCCATATATGTAATATATGCAGGCTTTTAGCGATACAGCATCTTCAAGAAGACACAGCTTAGACCTTCATGAGCTAATGCAATCACCTTCTCCGTCTTGGCCGAGGAAATCGCTCAATGTAAAAGACGAGGACAGAGAATCTAAGTCAGGGGAGTGGATCGATAAGCACGAAGAGTCAGTCCAAGCTGACATTCCAAAGTCTGCCGAGAAATTCTACCAGTCAATTACCCCACCACAACAACAATCACTGTATGTAACCAAGAACATTTTCTACTTTACATTTTTTTTTTATCTCTGCAACTTCTTATTCTTGAGCTCTACTATCTTGCAAATGACAGAAATGGTGGGAAGCAAGATTTTGAAGTGCAGAGTATTATAGATAACGAATCTGATGAAGGCACAACTAGCGATTGCTCAGACTCTGATTTGATGTGGCGATTGAGTGTTCAAGTGAATGTGCCCAGAGTTTCTAATATGCAAGGCTCAGCAAACCCTAAACCAAAGAAAATTCAGCCCAAAACTACTAAGCCCTCAGAAACCAGGTACTATATATATATATATATATATATACACTTTATTTATGAATGTTTGCAACAGTTTTATTGATTTAATAGGGAATTTGAGTCTTTTCTTGTGGCAGAAGTTTAATCCCTTCGCTGATTCCAGCACCAAGCAAGAGACCTCCGACCACCGTGAGTTCGCAGCCGCAACGACCAACAAGAGATGGAAAACGCAGACTGAGTTTAGGCAGCAAGTGAACATGTTTTCACCAGTTTTATAAAACAAAAGAAGGATACAGAAAGATTTGTTTTTGTATATTGTGAGAAAGTGCTATCTGTTTTGGCCGACACTCTTTGTGCCATGAAGGTAAAAAGTCTTAGGTTGGTGCTTTGAGTGTAGAGAAAACGATTCCTTTTTTTGGATTTTTGACTTGTGTATGCATATATATAATTTGATGTTTATTTAAACAACCAAATATAGCAAAAAGGGGAGACAAATTTAACAATGAATCCAAAGCAACTATCAACAATCCATATGCTTTTGATAAAATTAATGGCACATATATAACCTAGTAAGTTAAGAAATCATAATGCAGTACAAGAAACTTTCCGGATCAACCACAATATCTAAAAGATCAATGACTTGTAGAATCTGCTTCTGCAAAGTGACCACTTCTCATTTCAATAGTTGTGAGTTGTCTTGTTTTCTGCAAATCATTTCTATCTCTCTCTCTCTCTTTATTTCTCCGGTGACGGCATAGCTCGGGTTGCGGCTTAGGGCTTCGCTTCCTCTGTTTTTTCCGATCAGGAGATACATACGCACTTTGACAAAAAGGACAAGAGAAGATGGGCTTGGGTCAGGGGAATTCTTTGGTTTCGGGCTAAACGTGTAATGGGCCACAGTGAAAAAAAGAAGTTTAATGTAAGAAAAAAAAACTTAGTATAGATTTACTTTGGATGTTTCATAAATATCAAAAATTTATACCGCGAACAATTTTTTTAAAAACAGTTACTTACAGTTACCACTAAGAGGACTATGAGGTGTAGTCAACCCACGTTTCTGAAATCACTCCGATTTCTATTGAAATACAACTCTCTCCACAACACCACAACTCTCCATCATTTATTGAATAAATGACGATAGTAGTATCATCATCAAACTCTCCAAACTCTAAAATCATCACTGAGGCGAGCAAAATTTCTGCCAAGGATCGTGCCTGCGTCCTGCGTCCACATCGTGGAAGTTTAGGCTTTCCATGGATCAAGAGACGCTCAATATCAAAATACCTAAAACATCAGAGAAAACCAGGAGGAAGAAGAAGACGAATACAGATCACAAGAAGAAGATGAAAGAAGAGAAATGGAAGAGACATTTAATCAGAACCAGGATGGTTTTCCCGGTTAAGAAGATGACTTCAGTGATTTCCGGTGTCTTCAGTCGCAAGAAAACACTTGCAGGTGAAAACAGAGGAAAGAGAGATGGTTCTTCAGAAGAGATTACTGAAGCTGATGAGACCTTGTCTGTTGGTAAAGCTAAACCCAAGCAAAACCTACTTCAGAAGAAGGAGAGTTTTTGGGAAAGCGCAAGAGTTCGACTGAAGATACTCATCTTAGGGCGAAGATTAAGAACGAGAAAAAGAAGAAGAAGAAGGAGAAGAAGGCTAAATGAGGGTATTGGAGAAGATGAGCTGTGCAAGAAGAGGATACTTATGGGTGAAAGGTGCAAACCGATAAACCGGTCAGGGATTTTGCAGTATGATGGTGATGGCATCCTCCTACCCGAGCCATGACCGTTGATCGTCTCATATTGTTCATGTCGGTTTTAATTAATGGTAGTGTAGTTTCAATTTCTTGCCAATTTACTCATTAGTCACAGTCTTGTTGCTTATTCACTCTGAGAATTAAAGATAGTTATACAAACTTTATTTCTTACCATTGTTACCAAATTCAATATCATAAGAATCTTGAAACTAAGGGCTACATTTGAAGATCTAATAATACTGCCTAAACCTTGATAATAATAATCAACAACACTAACTAACCAACCTGGAGGAATAATGATGGAGAGAATTGAGATTAATTACATGGACATCTATGAGGAAGCCATTTTGGTTTGTTCATCTTTGTAACTGTTCTGGAGTTTGGTTGCTTGTGGTGGATGGTGAGGTGTTGATGGCTTCAGAGGGTGGAACAATCCCCCACTTGCCTTCAGCCTCGGTCGGTTCTATTACCTTAACTGACCCATCATTCAAGCCGACCGCAAACTGGTTTGGCTCTTGCGGGTGAGCTGCCACAACTAGAGGGGACAAGCTTTGGTTCCTGAGGAAGCAACGAGAATTAATATAAAAAGAAGTTTATAAAGCAGGTTCAAGACCGAATCTGATGAAATGTTGGATAAATTTACCCTTGAGGCAAGTAGGCGGATGGAGAGATACGACATCTTAATCTGAGAGTGTCTGCGTCGAACACTCCAATGTTCCCATCGCGGAAAGTGGTGTAGATCAACTGGCTGTTGCACGCATACACTGCTGAAGATATAGGAGCAGACAACGAGTCTTGTGGAATCCACTGAGACATGGAAACAAGAAAACATAAGTCAATATGTACAAAATTCAAAACAATTATTTGAGAATTCAGGTATGTATGATATTGCATTTTCCATTTTTTGTGTTTACATATATGGATTTAGAGAGATGATCTCATCATATTTACCTGTTGGATACATTCCATCTTGGAAGCATCAAATATCACCAATTGTGTCTCGTGGACTGCGAGGATACGGATCTGATCCACATGAAACTGAACACGTGTGTCTCCATTGGAGGCTTTTCCTGCTGGCGTTTGTATTGAAACGGATTTTCTCTTCTCCCATGTGTCAATGCTCCAAAAGCATATCTAAGAGAGGAAGCAACAGCAAGAGTAGCATCCTCTTAAATTATATAATCGAACGGTAGAAAATCGAACAAGGAAAAGGCACAAAATAATATAGCATCGTAGTTGAGATATTTCACTACAGGACAACAACATGACGCAGCATACACACCTGTGCATCAGCACCAGATGATACCAAGATATTGAGGGTTGTAGAAAATGCTAAGCCAGTGATGCGTTTCTGGTGACCCTTTAGCTTTGATTTGACCTGATGAAACACAGATGCAAGTGGAGTGAGCTCGTCATATAATTTTTTAAGGCAACATCTAGTAGGGTAAAAATTAAAATGTGAAGCCATATCAACCACTTCCTAAGAAAATGTTGACAAGTTTTAACTCGTCATAGATCATAAAAACAAGTCAAGTGGCAATGGTTCTATGGACTACTTACCTCATCCACTCGGACATTGTAGATGTGAATCGTGGAGTCCTCCATTCCAATGGCAATGATATTGTTGTCTTGAGGATGGAACGCCAAAAATGTTGATGCCGGTGGAGGCGGCATGAATGTTGTCATCACCTGCAAGGCCAATAGATTTCTTTAGATATTAGAACCACCAAAGGAGTTTTTAGGATTACAGTGATAACATGTTCAGCTAGATCTTGTGGCTTTAGTGGCCTTCTTTAAAGTCCATATTTACATGTAGATATATGTACCTTAAAAGTCATCATGTTGAACAACGAGACTTTTCCTCCAGCAGCCGACATGACATATGAGTCGTTCTTAGAGAGAGCTATGCATGGGGCCGCCTCTTCAAGGTTTACACCAGAAACATCGTTGGTCATGAGAAGACCACTGTTTGGTTGCCAATGCTGAGGAACAACACTAGCGGTTGCCTGCATGATAAACGGTACTTCAATAAAACTGCACACAGCATGCATTGAGCTCTCTCTAACTCTCGTTTATGCTTACCTTTCCACTAGGGTTCTGCTCACTGCGAACCCATTTCCAGAATCTCTGAATACCATTAAAACCTAGTGCTAAGATTCCAGAGCCGGAATTTGTATACAGAAGCCGAACGACCTGCTTTGCCATGAGAGGAGAAACGTAAGACTTAGTTTTTTAAAAAAAAATTAACTTTAGAGAGTAAAATATCTTTCTAAGAGGATTAATTCCGCAAACCTTTATGGAAGAACCAGCTGTATCGGGTAAAGTTGCTTGGCGACACTGGGTAGGGTCCAAGATTTCAGCTAATTGCCAAGATTTTGGTTTGTCTGTTGACTCATCGATTCTTGGCTTTGAGGGATCAACTCCATTCTTGAGGAAATGCCAAGAAAATATGTATTCAGAACAGAAGATAAGAATTTATAAAAAGGGATCCCTTATAAAACTGGTAAGAAAGATAACATTTAATGGATGATTTACCAGCATTGGTGAGAGTCTAACAGGAGAGCCTCGTTCAACTTTACAGCTGACAGATGCAACAGGAGCTCCAGGAACCTAACAGAATACCAACATGTGTAAACCGAGACAGCTTGCTACGACAGTGGATATAATGAAAGGAAAAGTAGACTACAAAGTTAGAAACGTTACAGCTTTGATAACAGAAGAATCGACTGGAGTCCTCATCGTTTCAAATGCTGAAGTTTCCATGGCTCTCAGAGATCGGAAACCAGCAGGATTTGCTAGGATCTTAAATCCGTTATCTGCCGTAGTAACGGCTAGAAGATTGCCTTCCCTGTTATATCTCAAACGAGGAAGAGCCTGAAGTTGAGACAAGTTAGCATCCAAACCTGAAAACAAGAACACCAAAGCAACAAGCCATAGGAAAGAAAAAAAGAATCGATGGGACTAACCGGAAGTCCACCCTCAGCATCAATGCTAGTCAAAACATTGATGTTATCCATATCCCAGAACTTGATCTGCCCATCTTCACCAACAGCCAGAAAGTGGTTCTTTGAGGTATCGAACTGGACCACACCTGCCAACTTTTTCTGAAACCCAAGATAGGTCCTTTTAATTGATCCTTCACTTTCGTTCCACTCAACAAGGAAAGACTCTCCCTCTTTACTCGTTCCACAAGAGAACAATCTGACGACAAAAAATACACGACAATTACATAACATCAGAAAGAACTAAAGCAGCAACAGAAAATAGATATTTTGAAATAGATAGATTTTAGTTTTTTGCTGAATCAGCAAATAAATGCAAAATATTTGGGAGAGAAAATGTATATTTAAGCTTACACACACACAAAAAAAAAAAAAAGATTGGAAACTCAAGGACACAACTCAGTATCTTCAGGAATAAACAAATCTCAATGAAGAATTTGAAGATTTTAGAAAGTAGAGTGAAGAAGAAGGATTTGATAAGCAGTTCAAAAGGATTAGAAGAGGGAAAATTTACAGCATTTCGGATCTTACCTAGTCCCATCAGCACTGTAAAGCATCGTTGTACACCATTTACCGGGAGCATCATAGTCAACTCTGGAACCCATATTATCATAAAGCCAGGCCTTTATTTTCCCATCTATGGCCGTTGAAAATATGAACTGAAATCCAAATAAGAACGTGTTATACTTTGGAAAAGAGCAGAATTCCATAGGCAGGATCTGTTATACGAAATACTATTGGGGTCCGTTCAAAAAGATGGACAAAACAATACAATAGATGATCGAATGCCACACCTGAATGTTCTCTTTGTGATGAGGGCAAATGGAATATACAGGAGCATCGTGACCTTCAAAGGTAAAATGCTTCCTACCTGAAACATCCCATACCTGTTCCACATTGATCAAGTTAGATAGTTGCAGTAGAGACGTCTAACAGTAAAACCCTGCAATTTTTATTCTCACCTTGATTAGCTTATCATCTCCGCAAGTAACTACACACAGTTGTCTGTTTGGGTTGGCGAAAGCCAAGTCGTTCACAGCACCCACATGGGCATCAATCTGTGAGAAAAAAGTGATCCAATTTTATGGGATATTGTTACATCACATTGTTTCTCATAGGCATCAAATGTATGCTCACCTCAATATGCTGGCGAATATCATTAGGTCCAGAGAAAGCATACAAGTGAATAAGATGTTTCGTATATGCAACCCCTGCACAAGAAGCGACTGAGACTGAGACCAGAGACCAGAGACCAATTAAAATTCCACAATTCATGCTGAGAAACTTACCAATGAAATTTCCATCTGGACTCCATGCCACGCGGGTGACAGATATTGGTGTTTCTTTAGCAACTAAAGCCTGAATGAGGCCCACGAATGGTAAATATAAGATCCTTGCACAAAAACTAGTTTGCTGATATGTTTTGTCTCATCACTTCTCACAGCCATATTGTTGAAATCAAGGCTTTTTAGATCAAACACATAACTAAAAAATTATTAGCTGTAACGACAAACCTGAAACTGAAGTGAGCAATTAGCCATATCCCATATTTTGAATGGCCTTGAAACCAGCTTTTCTCGGACAGCGAGTTCCCACAATGTGATTTCTCCGGTCGCAGACCCGACTGAAGGAACGCAAATGGTCATTCAGAAAGCCAAAGAACAAAAGAAATATAACTTTAAATTGAGTTTAGAGGTCGTATTCCAAAGTTGCAAACCCCCATACCAAGAAGTGACGTATTTTGCATAGGGTGGAACTCCATGCTTGTCACAGTGGACCCTTGATGCAACGCTAGAGCCGCCTTTAATGGTAAGTCATCCAACGACCATGGAGCTAGCTGCCTAGGAGCGGGATATGTCGCCTGGAAAATGATAAAAGCTAAGAATTTTGAGAAAAATGCAAGAATCATACAGAAAGCTGTCCAGAAAGGGGAAAAAAGGAATTTTACGTTACCTCCTCTACAGATGGGGCAGGGCGGAGACGCTTCATTAGTTCATGATCAGGATTCTGATAATCTACTATACCTGGCGTTGCTGGTGGTGTTCTTGGTCGCTTCAAGACTGACACTTTGGAAGAAAAGTAATTAGTCTAAGAATGATATAGAACGGGTAGTTTACTGATAATTTCCGAAAAAGAAGAAATCTAGAAGATCGTCACAAACTAACCTTGATTCTGAGGTAGAGGCATAGACGCAGGTGTGGCAACGGCAGCTTGGACAGCAGAAGCACCAGATGCAGTAGCCATCCAACTAGCTAAAGCACCAGCATTAGCAGCAGCAACAGCAGCACCAGGAGGAAAGGGCTACATTTAATACAGATTTCCTCAAATATGAAGATTTAATAGATTCAAAAACATGAATAAAGCAGTCAAACACTGAGGTTTCTTACACCATGAGCTCCAAGAGACGGAAAAGCTGTCGGCTTTGTCAAAGTTGCAACAGGCTGATTGACTGGTGAAGGTGCCAGAGGACCATTAGAAACTGCGCACGTATGGTCTGTGAATAGAGTTTTAATATCTGGGTTTGGCCTCGGATTCTTGCACAACTGGTGCTGCCAATTAAGGCTGCAAGAGAACACGTGCACCATGAATCCCCCAATAAGTAAGTCAGTAACATATACTATGGTCGTGAGGAGAGAAGAAAAGAAACACACCTTTGATTAATCAGAGTCCGCAGTCTCGAAGATCTCAAAGTAGGGAACATCAATTTATCACGGAAAAGAGGATTTGCTTCGATTAGCTTCTTTAATTCTACTAACATTATGCCCCGAGCAGTTTTAGTGTCTCCGTATTTGGAAAGCTGCTCATTTTCCCTACATAATAGAGAACCAAATTCCTGAATACCATTGTTGTCAAATTCAATCCATAAATGGAGTGTCACACTCTCTTTCATAGAAATGTCTACAAGCTGACTAGATTCCATATCTCGTACCTGAAGTTGTGCAAAGTTAAAAGTTGAGTAATTTCTTTGTAGAGTTCCTCGTTGAAAGTGGAGAAGACTCTCAGGTCCTGCACCAATATCTCAACGGCTTTGGCCTTATCTTGCCTGCAGAAGAGACATGAGATGAAATCACACTCTGAAACTACAACAAGAAGAAATGTTAAAAAAATTAGTCGTAGGTTATTTATATACCGATCAAGAGCCTCGAGATACTTCTGCTTTCTAATTTCAAAGAATATCTTCATTGAGTATCTGTTATCATCAACCTTGGTAAACCCAGACAAGTACTTCTCAACTTCATCCCATTCTCCAGCAAGAACTTTCTCATCGAAATACTTGGTATTGAAGAAGAATCCTGACTCTTTCTCGAGCCTGTAGGACACAGTAACAATTCAAAATCAGCAAATCCCAATTAAAAATCCTGTCTTTGCAGCCTCCCAGGGCAAATGAAAAACAGAAACTCCCTTAAGAACTCAGGCTAATCAAACATCAAATTCAGGATAATTCATCAAAAATAGGATTCTATGGATTCAACTGGACCTTTTCGATTACTTCTGAAAAATCAAATTACTTTTTTCTTTTTCGCTCTACTCTGATTCAAACACAAATTTTTCAAACTCCATAACCATCCATGTTTATTACACGAACAAGTGTTTTTTTAATAACGACATAGGTTTATTACGAAACAGCACTTTTAATACTAATCAAAATTCAGCATATTATATAACTCAATATATTTGGGAGTTTCAATTGAACTTCTTCTTCTTCATATATACAAAAAAAGACTAACCTGTGCACAGACTCCTTGAATTTCTCTTCCTCGAGAAATTGCAGTATGAGAAACACCAGCTCTCGGCTCAACGACGACATTTATTACAAGCTTGGAATCTCAAATCTGACGTCAAACAAGAAGATACACACAAAACACACGATTACGTCTGAATCCGAGCTCGGTGAGAGCTCTGGGGATCTAAACAAGCCAGACGAAACTGATTGGAGCCGAAATCACGACTCGGGTTTCGAGAATTTCTAGGGTTTTGAAGAGCTTGCTTTTAGAGAAATGGAGAGAATAAATAAAGGAGAAGATTGGGGAAGAGAGAGAAAGAGATAGAGAAACTTGACCTCGCTTTCTTGGACGCGTTCTTCTTCCAGAGAGAAAGGTCTTTCATCATTTACCGACTTATCAGATATAAGCGGAGCAGGCATCGGTGATATGCAGGTTAGCTTATAATGTAAGTGAGTTAGGCTATCTTCGAATGGAGTGATAAGCGGGCCTGGAGATGGAGTGGCGGATTCGAAAACAAAATTCAAATATTGTGAATATTCTGTGCACACGTCCAGTCTGGTCCCCACATTTCTCTCTCTTGTGATGTCGCTCTCAGCTTTCGATGCGCTCTTGTTTGGCTTTCTCATTTTCTCCTTCTATTCACCTTTTTTCTCGCGATATATTAAAGATCTCCTTTTCGTGATTTCAACGAGAACGTGTCATTTACACGGTGGACAAATTCAATATCTCACAAAGTCACATCTGCAAATAATAATAACTTCAGTATCTTTTTTTAAAAAAAATAAAGACATTATATAGCTTCAAAAATTTTGCTTTATATACTGATACACATTTAGACCATTGTAAAAAAACGACGAATAGCATACTCGTAATTTTTTTTTTTTGGCATTCTTTGAAAATATTAACCTAATGTATTCAGTACAATCTCAGAAACAGAGGACAAGATACAACAAACAGAGGTCAAAGCAAAACAAGAAATTCAAAAAGAAGCAAAAAACAGAACATCAAATTACAAATTAATATTTTACATCTCTGTCGAACATATCCTTTAGCCAACGGGATGATTTATAAAATTCGAATTAAGCTACTAATGAAAATGAAAGACATAGTAAACATTACATACTTACATATTTTAAAAGTTTTTTTATCATACCAAATAAAAGTTTGTTTTTTTTTTTCTTTTGAACAGCCTTGAGTTTGTATATAAATTCTTGAGTTGTATACGACATCATTTCATCAGATTAGATGTTTGTCTAAGCCTCTTTCTTGTATTTTGCATAAAAAATGGCGATTTTTTTATCTCAAGATTCAATACTATTATACTATCATTGCTAATTGATAGATTTCTACCATTTTATCATTAAAAAGAATATTGCATTTGGCTTCCGGAGAAGAAAAACATATCATCACCATCTTGGGACATGAGTAAGCTATCATGCACCTTAGATCTTTTTGGGTCAGAATTTCTATGCACTATTAAACATATTTAGAAAAACTGTTAGAAAGTAATAAATGGAAATCGGATTTAGTTGAAGTCATCCTTACTTATGTTTTTCTCACAAGTGAAGAGAGAACAGAAAATACAAATAGACGAACAAAAATAAAACGATTTCGGCCTGATTAGTCGAGCCATCAAGTAGGCTCGGTACAGCCAAACGAAAATAAATTAGGCTGTGATTTTGGAGGAAAATGATTGGTATATCAATTTGTGTTGTAAAGTCTCTTTTTGGATATGGGCAGCTTCTGCAGCTTCTACAGCTCTCACCAATCAAAGCTCTTCATTATTATTGCTGGAAGATATCATCAACGCGGCTAGATTAATATGAAAAAAATGGAAATATTGAATCGGATCATTTAATGAACAGATCATATGCTCCCAAAAAAGGAAATTAAAACCACACTCCAATTTCTATATATACAACCCTAGACCTTCTTCGTGTTTATTATTCACTATTTTACTTGCGCGCTAATTCATCCCCACCAATTCTCTTGTTCTTCGACAATGGATTCTTCTTCTTCGACAAAGTCTAAAACCAAATTGTCTGAGAGATATCAAACCAGTTTCAAGAAAGCATCCTTCTCTTCCACTATTCCAGCTTCAAAAAAGAACATGAATATTTCTATGAGAGAACAGACAATGCTCAACAAAGCCTACGAGCTCTCGACTCTATGCGACATCCAAGCCTGCGTCATCTATTACGGTCGCGACGGAGAACTCATCAAGACATGGCCCGAGGATCAATCCAAGGTCAGAGCCATGGCCGAGAAGTTTCACAAACTAAGCCACAATGAAAAACGCAAGAAAAGCACCAACCTTTCTCAATTTCTCAACAAGAAGCTCAACGACGAGAAGAAGAGATCTCTCGATCAAAACGACAACAAATTCTCAGATAAAGTCTTAGCGATTGAGCATTCGTTGGAGACTCGTTTACGGATATTCCAAGACAAGCTTCGGCTTCTTCAGACCAAGCCAAACCAAAGCCTTGCGGTTTTATCCGATTGTGGTTCATCCTCAAGTACCGTGCAAAATCACAACTTTATGGATTCTTCTGCCTTCTTCTCATCGGATATATCTCCTAATTCACTTCTCATCAATGAACCATCGATGATGAATTTATCAACTTCACTGATTAACGATCAGAGCCTTGCGGCTAATTCATACGGCTTCACAACACATTTATCTCCGTCGCTAATTGAAGATCCTCATCATCAACAATGGACTCAAGATTCATTAACGAATAATCAGAGCAAGTTTTCAATCTTTCTCTATAACCATGACAACAACAGCTTCTCTCAACTCGGTGACTCTGTTTCAAGCTTTGACCAAGCGACGGCTCCTTTAAGTATGGATTTACTTGGGCCACAAGGTTTTAATCTAAGAAGCTGCAGCAACAACAACATGGTCATTCCTCCTCAGATGCAGAACTAAACCCAGATCAGTTCGGAGGGTGGAATCAGACACCATCTTTTGGATTCCAATGATGTTATCTTGTTATCTTTTAGGTCTGATCTTCTGACTAGGTTCTGCATTTTATTTGTTAGTCTATCTGCCATTGTTCTTCTCGAACCTGGAATTTGTAATTTGTCTGTTTTCCCTCAGCTGCTCTATCTTTTAAATTTTTTTTCCATAGTTCTTAAATCTAAGCTATAAGATCAAATTTATAGACTTGTCGGATAGTGTGGGGAGAAGATAACGAAAATAAAATCGCTCAGAGAAATAAACGAAACTTTATTACGCTTTAATGATAAAGATAAGTAAAGACTTATTAAATCTGGTCTGGCTCGGATTAGAAATGCATAAAACTGTAATAAGACTTTGGGGTTTGATGGACATTTCCGCCAGTTTCTCGGGAGTTAAGGATATCCTGATCTCTTGTCAGAATGTAGACATATATATATATATAAATATATAATGTTGTATTTATGAAATCCGATTCGTATCCTCTTGTTTTAGCTGAGCACTGATCTCTATCATAACACGAACATAGAACCGCTACAGCAGTTTTGCAGCCTGTCCTATTTGGAAGTGACGTTTTGGCAATCCTACCTGGAAATTCTGCCTAGCTAGACTTCTTGAGAGCTTTCCAAATCTAAAATCACTCGTCATTTTGGTCGTGATGACTTGCACACCCCCTAGAGTTTAACTTAAGAAACGAGTAGTTGTTTCTATATTTATTCATTTTATGTTTGTTTTTTTCTTTTCTAATAGGATATTGGATATGACCAGGGAATATGAGCAACCAACACTCTCATCGGTGCCTCGGTGTTTGGTGTCATCGCTCGAGTATGTATAGATAAATAGCATATTCCATATATATGGAGTTCCTACTGAAGTGGAAGTGGAAACTTTTAGAGATTTCACTAGTTTTAGGAAAATTTGTTCTGCCTTGTTCCATGCTAGAACAAGGATCATGTCCTGTTGAATTTGGATTTTAGTTTTGTTGATTATGATGTTTATATGAGCTATCCATAATAAAAGCCTGAACACGCTAAAAAAAACCATTTTTTGACTCATTGTTCTTTGCCCTTTGACCAAGGTAATTATCAAACTCTGTCGGTACCAACTATACAATCAGGTGGTTTCAGATTTTACCTAATTCAGAAGATGTTTTGCTTCTTCATCGTTTCCTTCTCTCTCTATTGATTTATAACTTTAAACTCTCATTGCTTTCTGGTTCAACATACATAGATCAAAAAAAGATTAGGGGACCGGAGATAGATTCACGGATCTTGAATTCAAGTCAGAGGTAAGTTTGTTTTCATCTATCTGTAGTTGATTAATTTCTCTCTTTGTTTTGTGACATTTTTTTTGTGTGCGTCCAGTAAACCGAATCAATGGAATCTCACTTTCCGATTTATTGAACCGGTTTTCTAAAAAAATCACCATAACTGGTTGTATAGTTATGGGCCTCTTATGCCCAAATTAATGGGCTCTTTTTGCCCCAGCATGGTGCAAATTTCGACTTTTCCTATTTCCCATTGCATAGAAAGTCGTATAAGCTCTAGAAACTAGCCAGTGAAAAATTACTCAATGGGGCTGGCTGTCACACAGAAAAAAACACTCAACAATTGTCAAAATACTCAAAGATTTTCCGTGAATTTTTCACAAGTTCTCTACTTCTTTTTCTATTTTTCCACGACACCAAATGTGTAACGATTGTTTTCTGATAAAACAATACCCAAAATTATAATTTATGCTACTTTTGTGTTCTTAAGCTGTTTATAAAGTATTTGCTAGTAATTTCTTAATCATATAAATTAGTGTAAATACATTTCATCATCTTAGCAGAAAAGGATTTAAAAAAATATATATATATATATATTGCACATAATTATTTCGGTGAGGAATAAAAAGGCTATTGCAAGCTATGTTGCGAATGAGAGAAGTGGAACAGAAGAGTACGGTGCACAAACACGGAAAATCCTTTATTTCATTGCACCGTCCCACATGTGATTGCTGGTCGCCACGTGTTGACCACTGGATGGAAAGTTTTTGAGCTTTTAGGTTTGGGCTCGCGAGTGGGTCCAGCGAGGACCGAATTTTATCATGTGGTTCTCGAGTCTCAACTAAGGTTCGGTTGCCGAATTGGAACTTCCCCTTAAAAACGGGAAGCGATGAACCGAGCGTCTCTAATTTGCTCACACCAATATAGTGAAGAGTAGTGATCCTCTGTTTCTCTCGTGTTCGTGCACATACATAGGTCACATGACTCATTACCACGTAGGCTTCTCAGATCTAACCTAATGATAAAATTAAAAACTTTCTAGTTCCGCAAAATTAGAAAGATGCGTGAAGATCTTTTCGTCAGTTGTTCTATTTTTAGTATCTTATTGTTTTTAAAATACACTAGTATTTTTAAAGATAGATATTTAAACTATCCAACCTGTCTTTCATTTTTTTACCGTCAAACAAATAATTGAATTGAGAAAATGAGAACATAGAAAAGATTTTATGTGCATGATTGTTGCCGACATATTGGGGATTCATCCAACGAATACAGAAAATCAGTGTTTGTTGTTTTCTTGTGCGTGATGGGTCCCAACCGGTCATACACAGTCCCCATAAAGTTGGTCCCACTGTATGTTCCCTTGGGGAATGTGAAAAACCCGAAGGTTCATGCCCAGTTTCGTCACGGCGTGTCTAATTATTGCGACCTGATCTTCGATCCGGTTTACTCACTCTGTCCAAAACAAACTACAATTATCTTTATCAAACCGGAAATATATAGTCATGAAAGATAAACTAATCAAACCAGACCAATCAACCGTCTACCGTGAGTCCGTGAGCTGTCTATTCGATCAAAAATAGTAGTTTATAACAACGATCATACAACTTATACTATTCGAGATATTTGTGTGTATTTTTTTGTTCACGAAAGATATTTGCGTGTGATTAATGATTTTTATTAATATTGCTTTCGTTTGAGAGAGTACACGAAGCATCTCAAACGATCTCTTTCTATTAAATTATATATGCATGCACCTTTATAAATAAAGTATTGCTTTTTATAGTTTCAATGATTTAGGTACAACACATGGACCATATTATCACATGTCACAATATTATATAATTGTTTATATAGTTTACATTATAGAAACTGTTTATCCATACTTTAGAATCCTTATGTTAAACGTGTATGCTATACGACCTACGTACTTTATATGTATTTTGCATGGTCAGATTTGGTCCACTAGGCATTCACCCATTCAAGTAAGTATTCTCAATTGGAGTCTTTGGAGATATGGTAATTAAAGTCGAGACTTCGAGTGGTAGAGTCGTAGAGGACTCGATTTATCAATAACAAAAAATATACCGCTCATATCTGTCTCTGTACCTAGATTTACAAGGATCTAAGAAGAGTTAGAAAATACTTAGGCTTCTTTTTTTTTGTTGCCAAAAGAAAAGAGGCTTTTAATACATGGGAAAACAACATATAAATTTATAGCTATTTTTGTTTACCAGCAGCCGGTCCACGAAGGTCGAGATGTGAGAATTTTAATATTGTAGAACGAATTTGGAATTGCATGCGTAGGACATTTCTTTTTAATGACGTATGTCTTGTGGGGTATTAAGGTACAGTTGCAAAATATATACGTTTAAACATATATGATATCATACTATACACTAGATATAAGTTCAATAACTAGACCTCAAAATTTATAAAAATTGAGAGATGAAATTAAAGGTTTATTGCTAATAAAACTAAACACCTTTATTTGTGGCCACTAGTAGAATTCGTTTTTAAAACACTGAACACTAGTAGACTTATTAAGTGACAAAAGTATTAATCGTTTTTTCACGTAATATAAATTAGGTTGAGTTTTATCCTCACTCAGAGTAAAAAAAAAAGGCATAGGGACTAATTTGTAGTTTTTTAATGGAATTACAAGCGTTTGTTAATGTCAAACGTTTGGGTTAAGGCAAATAACAATCAGTGCACTTCCTTTTATTAGACTTTATCAAAAGTTAGAGAGCATCATTGTCAAGTCATTTCTACCAATTTCATGCTTTTTCTCTACCATCTTGTTTGGTCGGTAGTCAAAATCCGTTGCCAAAATATAATCTCTAAGATGTAATTTACACACCAAAAAAATAATTTTACAACACTAATTTTAATCAACTGAGTTAACTTTGCAACAATAAATATGACAAACTTTGAAATTAGTTTGGATATTGACCTAAACATCATTTGGTTAGAAAATTAAATGGTATGTAGTTATTTTCTGATTCTAGGACCCATAATTTTACCCGGAATTTGATGTCAGCCGATAAAAAAACTGTTTAATTGATATATTTAATTTGTATGTATATAATTTGCTCGTGTATTTAAATGTCACTTTTAAAACAATATTTGTTTATTTTACTTTTAAATCGTTGTCGTTGACATACGGGAATATAGTTACCACGATAATCATATGACGCAAAGCCAAATAAAAGTAGTAATACCAATCATAACAATTTTTAATTATATTATATCAATCATACCATCATCAAATAATATGATGATATATATCATATATGTATATATGATTGGATTCCCTAACTATTGAATTTGATTTTATTTACTCGCTTGCCCATCTTTTTTTTCTTTGCCTCTCACTTACCTAATTTATGCCAATTAAAATGATTTTATACATTGTTTTTGCTATTATTCGTATAATAATTGCATAACCACAACGGAACTGTTGACATTCTCTTTCTAGGGATAATGCTAAACAATGTATATATACATAAGTATGTAATACGTTAATTTCTTAATTTTCTTATCTTGTTCGTTAATAGAAAAATAGTTAACCTTTGACTTCCGCGATAGCTGAAAAGAAAAAATGATCAGAAAATAAGTGAAAAAATCATAAGCAGTGAAACTTTTTTTATAGAAAACATTTGATTTGTTTTCGTTACTGTGATACTTATTGAACTTTATCTACTTTATTTGACCCTTCATGCAACGATTGGGACACACTTACCATGTATACGATTTTCATTTATTATCATATAAATGTAAATAGCAGATTTGAATGGCATCTTAAATTATTTAAATTCTTTAACAAGACAAAACAAAATGTTATGGTTGACAAGAGAATTGTTTATCTCCGAAGTTGTCGCTGTTTCTTATAATCCCAAACAAGATTATACAATTTGTTCTGAATCAAAAAAATATCGTGGACATTCACAATAAATAAATACTACATACACATCGGAGAAAAGTTTATAATTAAAAATGTAAACGTTGATAAAAGAATATTAAAAAAATATAATTATTGAAATTATGATCATATTATCATCCACAAAAGACCAAGACGATGTCGTCCATTTCTTTGTCCTTCTCCTGCCACAAGATAAATGACAGAGAGAACACCGTACCAGAAAAATTAACTTTTATTTATAAAATAATTTCAACACCTTTCCTTAATTGTTCCATTTAATCTGTTTCGCTCTCTTTGGAGCATTAAATGGATTCTGATATTTTTCTCTCGCTCCATTAGCTAATTCTTCTCCGTTGGGTGCTACGTCAGCTTTCCCGAGCTTACGTCATCTCTCCGGCGTCTCTGAGCTCTTTCAAGGTCTCTCTTTCTATCTACATCTCTCTTTACACATCGAAGAAGAATCTGATTGGTCTGTAACAAATGGAGAATGTTTAAACAAAAAATGAAGATCCAAATGTAAAAATAAAGAAGGTGAAGAGAAACTCCCTTTCTTGGGTTCTTCTTCTTCTTCTTCTTCTTTTTTCCAGTAAACCTTTAGTATTTTTAGATCTTCAATATTTTCAACTTCTGAATTTTAAAAACTAAGGCTTTTTAGTTTTGATAGAAAAGGTTAATTTTGGAGTAAAATTTGTGTCCCTTTGTCACTTCAAGGAAAATGAAGATTTTTGCTCCTTTTGTCTTAGTTCTGGAAAATTTTATCTTATTTACTGATTACAAATTGGAAACGCTTAACGTATGTCTGAAGCAAATCTATGGAGATTAATTGTGTGTTTGCTTCTTTTAGCCTTTTAGGTATTCATATTCAATATATATTAAGCAACAGCATGCTCAGAAAGTTCTGAGACTGTGATAGATGTTTATTTTATTTTCTTGTTAGTTTTCCCGGAAAAAGCAAAAGAGAGAATCTTGGAATCTTGCAACTTGTTTTCCATTTCCTTATTAAGAAATATCTCCAAATGTGTTTTCTATAAAGAGAAACTTGATTTCCCTTCTAGTAAAAATCATATATACATTTTGAACTTTTATCTCAAAAGATAACTATTGATAATCTCAGAAGCTTGTTTCAATGGAATTCCATGTCAGACTTAGGAATATTCTTCATCTTTTTTGTTTTGGTTGTCTCTTAAATTCTTTAGATTCTCAACACTATGACCATCTTAATACTTCTAAGTTTTAACTTTTAACCTCCGTTTAGATTTTAGTTTTCCTACTTTTCGACATTATATTATCTTCCTCTAGCTCTTAAATTATCCAAGTATCTAAAAGATTTCTGGTATCCTTTTTTATTATTAATAGATTCAGGATCATCTTCAGCTTGACGAAAAGATTACTTAAAAAGAATGGGACATTTTTCGTCGATGTTCAATGGATTAGCTCGATCCTTCTCGATCAAGAAAGTGAAGAACAACAATGGAAACAGCGACGCTAAGGAAGCTGCTGATGAGATGGCGAAAGAGGCGAAGAAGAAGGAGCTGATTCTGAAATCATGTGGTTACGTATATGCAGAAGGATCTAATAACTCGGCCTCTGTTTTCTCCAAACGCGGCGAAAAAGGCGTTAACCAGGACTGCGCAATCGTTTGGGAGGTATATCACTACTCTCTCAAGTTACTAACGTTTTTGCCACGTTTTTTATTTTAGTTTTTCTCTTTCTGCGTTTGCGTTTGTTTGTTAGAACTGTTTATCTTTGGTAAACAGGGATTTGGGTGCCAAGAAGACATGATATTCTGCGGAATATTCGATGGACATGGTCCATGGGGTCACTATGTAGCCAAACATGTAAGAAACTCAATGCCTTCGTCGCTTCTGTGCAACTGGCAAAAGACTCTTGCTCAAGCCACATTACTAGATCCTGAGCTAGACCTCGAAGGCTCTGATAAAGGACTCGAGAGATTCGACATATGGAAACATTCGTATCTCAAGACATGTGCGTCGGTTGATCAAGAGCTTGAACATCACCGCAAGATCGATTCTTACAACAGTGGGACAACCGCTCTAACCATTATCAGACAGGTAAAACGTATAAAAGAATATTAGTCTCCTATTGTTAGTAAAAAATCTTTGAGAGTTTATACATGTTCACTGATCAATGGTTTCTTGCTGTATTTAGGGTGAAATTATTTATGTATCAAATGTAGGCGATTCACGAGCGGTACTAGCCACGGTTTCAGATGAAGGAAGCTTGGTTGCTGTTCAGCTCACCCTCGATTTCAAACCAAATCTGCCTCGTTAGTTCTCTCAATCTCTCTTAAAGTTTACCATACTAGGTCTTGAAATTTTGGATTCTGTGGTCTTATATGAATCTTATTCTAGCAAATTCTTGAATCTTGATTCATGTGTTTGTTTTGCTGTGATAAAAAAAACAGAGGAGAAGGAGAGGATAATCGGATGCAAAGGGCGGGTTTTCTGCCTGAAAGATGAGCCGGGAGTCCACCGTGTGTGGCAACCGGACGCAGAAACACCGGGGCTTGCAATGTCGAGGGCGTTCGGAGACTATTGTATCAAAGAGTATGGATTGGTCTCAGTCCCTGAAGTCACTCAAAGGCATATCTCTGCTAAAGACCACTTCATCATCTTGGCTAGTGATGGGGTAAAATCTTTATAAACCTTTAGAACTAACAAACAATACTCATCCACACTTCCACACACTCTTATAATAGTCAAAAAAAAAAAAAAAAAATTAAAGCCAAACCCGCCCTGCAATGCTAGATGAAATCGGTTTGGTTTTGATTTGAGTTTTTCTGAAAATATCTACTGTAAAGTAGAATATATTATAGATCGGTTTGAACGGTTTCAATTCGGTTTTGGATTTTAATTAAATAGATTTTGAAGGATCAAAAGAATACAAATTCCAGTCCTTATCGGATATATATAGATATAGAACGGTTTAGACCCTTTTGTTTTGGTTTGGGTTGACTTGGTTTATTCTGATTGTATAGTTTTATTATCTATTTGTATAATTATTGACCAATCTTTTATTGTTGTTGGTTGAATATGAAAGATATGGGATGTGATCTCTAACCAAGAGGCTATAGAGGTCGTCTCTTTGACGGCTGAGCGGCCTAAGGCAGCTAAACGATTAGTGGAGCAAGCGGTTCGTGCTTGGAAAAAGAAGAGACGAGGAATCGCCATGGACGATATGTCCGTTGTTTGCCTCTTCCTCCATTCCTCCTCTTCTTCATCGTCATCTCTATCACAACACATTCATCATGCCACGACTTTTAAGTAAAAATTTGCGTTGTATATAGATCAGCGATAGCATTGCGTTTGTAACATTCGTTTTAAACTTCGAAATGCGATTATTTGGTTGCAGCCATCATGAGTCGTTTCATACGTCTCATTATGTACTAAAGAGAGAAGAAGAAAAGAACGGTGCAATGAAGAAACCATAAGAACAAAATATCGGTTCAATACATAACATAAAAGATAAAACCGAACATTCTAGTGGACTTAAGTATTTAGTTCTGCAATGCTAGATGCTCCATTTTATTTAATGGGCTTGGCCCAATTAAGTTTAGTTAGTGATTCCTTTTTCTTGCTAGGACAAGGGATCCTAAAAGGCTAAAACAGCAAATGCAAATAGACGATGACTCTAACCTTAACACATGATATGATGAATATAAAATGGCGACTAGAGAACATATGCGGTAGATTCGATCAATATTTGCATAGTAGAACAAAATCAACACATATAGGCGCACATGTATACTGTATGGTAATTATTTTGAAATTTTATATGGACCATAATATATGAGGTGACACATGAGCATAGATTCGTATTCCGTGTTTGGGAAGACAATGAACTCATCTTTGCATTTGATGTCATCATATGAACAAAATCTACATATTCGTTGTAGTCTAGGACCAACAAAATGTGATCATCATATCATAAGTTTTCCCTATATAAAATCCCCACAACTCTTCACCTTGTTTTAAATCAATCAATGTTGTATCATATCATATGGAAAGGAACTCGTAGTCATATTACCACGTACGTATATATATTTCTCCACGGTTCACAATATTCTTATATATATATATATATATATATCTTAATTATTTTAAAATACACTTATTATGTTGAGATTTTTTTAAAAATAGTAAATGTTTTTAAACTTTCTTCTTGATTTGTATGAAAATGCTTTTTAAATATATATGGACGTGGAGATATTCTTTTTCTCTACATTGTTGGGTTGGGTCTTCTTAGAAATTTGTTTTTATCGATTCGCTTAAGAGTTAAGACACCATTTTTTTTTTCTTTTCATATGATAAAAAAGAAAACAAATTTGTTTTACGTGACTAGTATTTAAAAGATCGGATAAAGGGAGGATAAATATGGGTGCATCGGTCCTCCCCAAGCCAATGGTCAACAAAAGGAAGTCAACGGAAGGAGAAGAATGTGAGAAGCGAGAATCTCGCAACTTGTGGGTGAAGGTAAGTCTTTCCCCTTTGTCGTTTTCTTTCTATTTTATTTATTTCCAGGCTCAAGTCGGGTAGATCTTATTCTGGTCAGGTATATCACAGCCAACTATCTACATTTAACTATTACCTTATGTTTCATCCTTTAATTTTGACTTTTACAATAAAACTGGTTTTCCCTAAAAAACTTAGTTTTATCTGTAGACTATAGTCACACTAAATACCAAATCACTTCATACGTAGATTATATCTCATATTCCAAATTACGCAATCTACTAGTTTTTACTTACATGGAAAAAATTATACTGTTAAAGTGTTAATATATGAAGAGTTAATGTGGTTTAGCCTACATTCATTTAGGTTTTCATCGTAGTTACCTACTAATTTCATTTAGGTTTAGTATATATATTCAAAACTAGTAGTTAGAAAAGCAAATTAATTATATGAACGAAAGATCAAAAGTGTAACTAATTGTAACCCATTTTTTATCACTCTCTGAGGTTTGAGTGGTTGAAAAGTTGACTTTCATGGAACGTAAAACTGAATATATTTCTTTGACCTGATATTCTTGAATCGTCTAAAAGACAAGAAAGTCTCAACAAATCACACACATATATATATATATATATATATTTCCCTGATGTCATTCGTTCGATCCTAATATTTGAATGATTATAAACTATTAGTTATTGAGAGACTCAACCATTCACCTTTTATGAGTGACATTATAAACCAAGATTTATAGATTGAGCATCTAAGATTTTTGTTTTCATCTAACTTTTAGAGCTTAATTGCCTACTATTATGTATTCGAATTTCGAAATATAAGAAGTTTATAGTCTTCAAAAGAGAAAAAAATGTACATCTTATTTAAGATTAAGTGTGTATTGACAGGTGGTGGAACAAATATGAGTTAGTATATTAATCAAACAAAATTAAAACTCATATTAGTTCTACCTCCTGCTGAAGCCCACATTAATCTGAATAAGATTTTCTGACATTTACACACCGTATAAATATTTGTATAGCTATGTATTATATGTAGGAAACTAGGAACTTACATTTCATTGCCCATATGTATTTCTTTTAAAAGAGAAATTAAATGTAAGCCCCTTCGAACCAAATGGATATTCATACTCAAGTTCTAACTGGCTTATTTGACGCAAAACCCGAAAATATCGCTGTAAATATATTTATCTCGCTTACACATCTTAGAAAACACTAATAACAACGAAAACATATACTATAAACTATAAAGAAAACGTCGACAAAAAAAAAACTATAAAGAAAACATTTTTTAAAAAAGTTCTTTGTACGACTATCCTCCATCATATGCACCACTAACTAATTCTGTAGTGTTTTTTTTTTTTTTTTCATAAAAGGGTTTTCAAATTAAATGCAATGGAAAATATTTCAGTGGTATGTTTTTATTGTCACATAGTTTGATAAAGTTAGTAAGAAGAGCTTTACAAAAAAATTAGAAAACTAAAGAGAGGAGAGGAGCTCTAGAGAAGACTCTCAAGGCTATCTAATTCCGTTAGTGTTATATATGAATTTACTTATGGAACACGAAAAGAAACATGTACTGTTTTTTTTTTTTTGCTAAGAAACTGTTTTTTTCTTTGTTAAATAAGAAACCTATTCCTGTTTATAAATGCATATATATGAGCCGTTCTATTCTATAACTAATTTATTTAGATGGACATTTGGACACCGAAGTGTTTCATTGCCATTAGCTATTATATATAGTTAGTTCGCTTAATTAGTTGAATCAAGGATAAATGAAAGTCTAATTCAACGAATTTATATTATCAACAAACAGGCTGAAATCATTTTATTCAGCCAAAAAACGAAAAGAGAATACAATGCGAGAACAGACTTCAGACAGAGACAGTATTCAGGAATATATTATGCTAACTAATTTTCTGAAAGTAAATTATATTTCGTTAATCCAATAAGAAAATTCGAATAGAAGTTCACGTATGCATGTGTTTGTCTAAAAGTGTGTCAACTTCTGAAGAACCGTACGCAAAAGTACATAAATTAAATCAGTATTAGTTATTTATGTTAGCACTTATTAATGAGATGTGCATGCAATAAATAGTAAATAATGAAAAGCAGATACTGTATGAGATAATAACCAGCACAAGTCCCAACGTGAACCGTCATGCGCTGTGCCAATACCGCAATACGTGACTTTGGAAACTTGCAATTATAAAACTCAGATACACTAGATTTGTTTTGTTTTTTTTTCGTTGTCAAAACTCAGATTAGATTTAAATGCTGATTGTTTTTTTTTTTTGTTCGAAAAATGCTGATTGTTTAATGTTTATACGTATTGCACGGCATCGTTTTTTAAAAGCAATTTGCGGATCCCACATTACTCCTCTTAAACGGTCCAGATTATATCTAGGATCTGCCACGACGATCTCGCGTAGTATCCACGTCAGACCAACGAAGATGCTTTTCTTCATATATGTATTTTAATATCTCTCGTTTATGATATAGTTTGGGTCAAAGAGATAGGTACGGTCGATGCACGTTACGTGGGACCCGCAAAGGGGGCAGACCTAATTTCGGTACAGTAGAGTATAAATCACCTGCTCTTGATCCCACGATTAGAACTCTCGTAAGCCACTGAGATAGTGCCACGTGATTCTTTGTTGGCAGCCGTAAACGGATCTCTGACTCGAAACACCAACACTTGTATTCCGTACTGAAGTAAAACTAGGGGCGTTTCCGTCATTTTGTATAGTCTCTTCACGGTTCTTTCTCTTCCTCTTCCTCTTCTTTCTTTATAATGAACACGAAAATTAAAGAAAATTGAAATTAGAGAGGTTCGGTTTTGTTTTTCTCACCGGAAATTCCGAAGGTGTGACTAATCGGAGTGATGAACCCGATATTGAGAACCCGTTACCGAATTCGGATCCTCGAAAAACCTGTTCACCACTCTCTACTCTATCTCCGAGCTGTGTTTCTCTTCATTCCAACTTAACAAAAAAAAAAGCTTGAGAGATTTAAGCTTTCACCGAGAAAGATCTTTACTTTTTGCTGATTCGAAACGCAATAGAGGAGAAAGCACATTTTTTTAAGAAAGATTTCGACTTTTTTGTTTGTTTGTTTTGTTCTGTTGCAAATGTCGCCTTCTCCATCCATTTTATCCGTTTTGTCGGAAGATCTTCTGGTTCGGGTCTACGGGTTTCTAGACCCGGCGTGTCGGAAAACGTGGCGACTCATCAGCAGAGAGTTTCTCCGAGTCGACTCGCTGAGTCGGACATCGATCCGAGTCCTCCGGGTGGAGTTTCTCCCGGTGCTTCTCTTCAAGTACCCGTATCTCTCCTCCCTCGACCTCTCCGTCTGCCCCAAACTCGACGACGACGTCGTTTTGCGCCTTGCACTAGACGCCGCCGTTTCGACATCGCGACTGAGGTCACTGAACCTGAGCCGGGCCACCGCAGTCCGAGCCAGGGGACTAGAGACGCTTGCGCGTTTGTGCCACGCTCTTGAGCGAGTCGACGTGTCTCACTGCTGGGGATTCGGCGACAGGGAAGCTGCGGCGCTTTCTGTTGCGGCGGGGCTCAGGGAGCTGACGATGGACAAGTGTTTGGGCTTAAGCGACGTCGGATTGGCTAGGATCGTCGTCGGGTGTAGTAATCTCAGCAAGATTAGCTTGAAATGGTGTATGGAGATCTCCGATCTTGGGATTGATCTTCTCTGCAAGAAATGCAAGAACTTGAAATCTCTCGATGTCTCGTATCTTAAGGTTCGTTTAATATATCCTCTCTCTCTTTCTCTTTCTCTGTTTCGGCATATGATTCTTCTTAAAGCTTCGTAGTGAAATTGCATAAATTTGAAAACTTTTGGGATTGATTCCTGGAATTTTGGAGGTGGATTCAAAGTTTCAATCTTTGTAGATCAATGTGAGATTGCATTATCTGAACAAAAATCTGG